GGGAGGAGTTGCCCTCGAAACTCCAGGCTGAAGGTTTTGCTGCCCCAACAGTTTCTTCTTCCTGCTGTCAGTCAGCCTGAATTCCATCCTGAGATCTACTGGGAGAGCCTCACGGTGCTGCTGCAGGGTGATTGCTGGCTCATTCCCACACTAGCTCATTCCCACACTATCTGTGCAGCGGGGAGGAGGGGAGGGCTGGAGGGAGGGGCTAAGCAGGGTCTGGGAACACTGGGCTCTCGGTGGCTCTGTGTGTGTGTGTGTGTGTGTGTGTGTGTGTGTGTGTGTGTATGCGTGTGCTGGGGCATGTGGTAGGGAAAGAGGGTAACAGGGAAATCCCAGATGCTAAGAAGGCTTTACTAATAGCCACCTTCTTCAGAGTGTTTCTGTTTTGCCCAGAGACAAGTTTGTGCTGGAGAGAGGCCCTCACAGGGAGGTGCTCAGGCTGAGACATGCCCAGTGAGAAAGGAAGCTCAGGACCCCCTCCGCAGAAGGAGGGGGACAGTGGGAGAGGCTGAGTCCACCCCTGCTTATGCCCTCTCAGATTGATGACCCTTAGATAGAATCTAAACACCTCCCTGGAGAGACAACACACCCCTCTTGTGTGGGCTCATCCCCACCCTCCAGGTAGGATGATTTGTTTTAGGTTTAATCCGGATTCCTCATGTGCCCACACAGCCTCATCTGTCCAGGCTAAAAATATTGCATCTCATGGGTGTGAGGTCAGTTTGCTTCAACAAACCTTTATTGTGTGCTGACATGTGCCCGGCGTTGTACATAGGTGCTGGGATGGCTGGTGCCCAGCCCTCTTCCTTCAGTCAGACTCAGTTTCCCCTCTGCTGCTCACAGTGCCATTTCTGAAGCCATTCCCCCCAATCCAAGCTCCGGTGGAGGGTGGCAGTAGTGGGTGCACCTGAGGGGGCTAGGGATCCTGGGAGGGATCCTGGAGACAGACAAGTGTTTCTGGGGACAGAGGCAGAGAGCACCTGAGGGAGGGGGCAATGGGGACAAGGTAGGGCCTTGTCAGGAGAAGAGAGGCCCTGGTGAGAAGGTAAAAAGAGGGATAAGGAAATGGGAGATATTTCTGGGGAGACAGACACAGACACAAGGAGCTCCATTCTGGATTCTCCCACCCTCCCTAGGCTCTTGAGGGTTCCCTACCAGTCCTCACAAGGGCTCTCTGGAAGGGCCTGGATTTGGAGTTCCCAGGCGAATGGAATACAGTGAGGCTGTGGCTTCACCCAGCAGGGTCTCCCATCCTTGCCCAGAGCAGGGGGTGGGGCCTGATCCTCTCTGTATCCCAGCTTCCTGTGAGGCTGGCCTGGGGAGAAAGACACTCAGGAGGTATTTGCCCAGGTGGGCAGAGTGTGAATCACTGGGCCACCACTAGGAGGCACTTTCCCCCCACCTGCCTTGATTCACCTTCTGGGAAGAGAAGGGGTGGGGTGCCGGGTGTCACTGCCACACATCACTAAGGGTGTTCCCCAGGTGGAAATTCTGGAGGAGGTGTGCCCAGGCCTCTGAGCTCACAGCCAGGCCTGATCTGGGGCATCTCCGTTACTGAGTTTAGTCTTGCCTCCCCTCCTCAGGGGCCTGGGGCCTGGGCACTCTGAAATGGGAAGTTCCAAAGGGATGGTCCATGGGCCCAAGCCCACCACTCAGTGTTGGTGGGGGAATCTGTCCTCCCTCTCCTCCTTTATTCTGGCAGGGAGCTTCCTGGGCCTCAGGTAGTCATCTGTGGGGTAGAGGTGGGCGGTCTGTTGGAATCTCCTAGACCAGGGCATCCCTGTAAGTTTTCAGAGCTTCGATGTATTAATCAGCAAGGAGCTTGGCTGGCTCTAGGGCCTGTGGCTAAAGTGGAACCGTCAGATACGTCCCCTTCACGACAGGTCTCACGTCTGTGGTTTCCTGTTCCAGGTCTGCATTCCCTGCTATTTGGTATTGAGATGTATCTCCCACACCATAATGTTCATGCATTTAAAATGGACGATTCAGTGACTTCAGTATATTCCTAGATGTGAGCAGTTATCATCACTGTCAATTTTAGAACATTTTCACCACCACTAAAAAAACCCTTTAGTTATCACCCCCATGCTTCTCCCACCCTGCCCATCTCCCCATCTTCTCCTTCCTCCAGCCCTGGGCAACCACCAATTGGCTGGCTGTCTCTATGGATTTGTATATTCTGAACTATCTTAATATACTGTATGGCCTTTGTGTCTGGCTTTTTTGTACCTTCCATAATGTTTTCAATGTTCATCCATGTTGTAGCACATATCAGCACTTCATTCCTTTTTATGACTGAATAATATTCCATTGTAAGCATGTACCACATTTTCATTATTCATTTGTCTGTTGATGGACATTTGGGTGCTTTCCACCTTTTGGCTATCGTGAATAGTGTGGCTATGAACATCCATGTGCAAGTTTTTGTGCGGAGGTGGGTTTTCATTTCTCCTGTGTACATACCTAGGAGTGGACTTGCTGGGTCTCATGACAACTTGGTGTTTAACATGTGAGGAATCACCAGACTGTTTTCCAAAGTGGCTGCACCAGCATGCAGCCCCCACAATGGGCTCTAGGTGCTGTGTCTGCTGTGCCTGCTGGGAGAGTTGGCCCTGAGTGGGCCTGTCTTGTTCACCACTGTGTCACCAGCCCCTGGGTGGCTGGACTCATAGCAGGTGTTTGGTAAACATATATTGAGTGAAAGAAGTAAGGGGATGGGCTCTTTGGAATTTTCCACCCACGAGTATGACACCTAGACCTCCCTTTGGACTCTGTCCTTACAGTCCTCTCTGAGTCTCTCTGACCCCCGCTGGGCATCATTGGGAGCTGCTTTTTCTCTTCACTGCCCTCCAGCCTGGCTCTCATGAATGATCCCCCTGTGAGGCGGTGTCTCTCCACTGTCCAGAGGGTGTCTTGGTCACCTCAGTACCACCAGCGGCTCGTGCAGGACCGGGCCCAGAACAGACACTCTGTGTGGGGCTGTGGGGGAAAGGGAGCTGTGCCTAGGGCCCAGGAAGGGGAGCCCCAGGGGGAGTTTGTGGTGGGGGGTTGTTTCAGGGAACCAACCTCCCAACCACAGGGAGGCTATCAGCCCCACAGAGGGTGAAACTGTTGCTACCAAGTCTCATTTCCAAATTATCAAAGTCTCAGAACTTGGGGCTCCCTAAGCAGGGAGAGGAGACTCGAGGGATCTTCTTCCTGGCTGGGCTGCCACCCATCCTCACTGCTTCCCCTGGGCCAGCACTGTCCTGCACTGAGACAGGTCCAGGATGGGGAGGCAGAACCCAGGCCTTGGAGCCTGAGAAATGTAGACAAGATAGGGGACCCAGGTGCCGGGGACCACATTGCAAAAAGGCCTATGTGCAATAGGCATGTGGTTTTTAATGTGGCAAGTGCCTTGTACACTACTGGGGTGTGATGTGCATTTTTTTTTAAATGAAGTTTCTTTTTTTTTTTAAGATTTTATTTATTTACTTTTTAGAGAGGGAAGGGAGGGAGAAAGAGAGAGAGAGAGAAACATCAATGTGCGGTTGCTGGGGGCCGTGGCCTGCAATCCAGGCATGTGCCCTGACTGAGAATCAAACCTGCGATGCTTTGGTTCACAGCCCACACTCAATCCACTGAGCTCCACCAGCCAGGGTTTGATGTGCGGTTTTTAAGTGCAGTTTGTATGAGTCCACATTGATTCCAAGGGCTGTTTGCAAATTGTTCACAGGTAGTTTTCCCATTTCTATAATAACCTTCATTTCCATCCCAAGTCCCCCAGCTTCCAGCCCCCAAAGGCTGCTTATTTGTTCCCCCTCAGAGGAGCTTCCTTACTTCACACCCCACAGAGCAGATCGAATAATCCTGATCCCTGTAACCTGTGAAGTTCATTTATTGGGAACAGTCAAGACCAGAGGCTCTTGGCAGAGTGGATCCTTGGGTGGGTGAGGCTTCTGCGGATGTGGTGCTGGGCGGGGGTTGGGGGAGAGCTCTGGGGGGATGGGGTCAGCCTAGCACCTCCTCCTCCTCCTCCCTCACAGCCCCAGAGCTAGAGCCTCCAAGAGGGTCTGGAGTCTCTCCATTGCTATAGCCAAGGAAACACATTTGTATCAGACCCAAAGCAAGAGGAAGTAAAGGGAGAGAGAATAGGAACCAGGTGGCTATGTACAGAAGGGGTGGGGTGGGGTGGGGCTTGGTTCCTCTAAGCAAATAATGCCAGCTCTGATTGTCTCTCTGTCAAGTGAATATTCTTTGTCCCCTTGCCTTTGTTCTAGCATGTCTCCACCATCAGCAGCCAATGTGAGCTCAGGAAAAGGTGAGTTTTCATGGCGTGAGTCCAACACATCTGAGCAGGTAAATCTCCTGCCCAAAGGCCGCCTGTTGATTCTGTGTTCCCTGAGAGGACTGTGGGCAGGTCCTGAGTGATCTCCAAATCCTGGCCCTTGCCTTTCGGTGAATTCAGAATGGAATTTTGGAGTGTCTCCTTTTGACATTTGCAAAAGTGCATGTTTTAGGTGGGTGTTAAAAGAAGTCCGTTTTTCTTGGTACATGAGAATCAGGGGTAGGGGAAGTGGGGAACCTCTAGGGGCTGGGAGAGGCTGGCTTTGTGGGGACACTTTTGTGATTTAATCCACAGAGCAGAACTGTGATGTGCCAGTTGGCTTCCTCATCCGGAAGAGAAGTGGTTAGGCACCGCTGCCGTTCTCTTGGCCACTCTAGGGCCTGACTGTCAGCAGCAGTCTGGACTGCATGGACGATGCCTTCCCTTTCTTTGCATCCTACCCCCACCCCAGAGTCTAGCTCAAGGTCTGCACACAGCTAAGTGAAAAATGACTCTAGAAGATACAGTGGACTTGAGGAATGGCTCCCAATGAACATCCAAGGGAAACCTGAGGTCAATACAGGAAGGCGGGGTTTTGGAATCTCCTGGCCTTCTGCCCTGGTAAGCATGGGCAACATCGAGGCTGGGGACTGGTGCCCTGCATCCTGGACTTGCAGCCTCTGAAGCGGTGCTAATACTTGTGGGAGGAGGAGCCGTCCCCAGACCCTAGCTTATTGCTGGAGCTCTGCCTGCTCGAGCAGCCCAGGAGCCCCTGGGGCTCACAGGGGATGTAGAGTTCACCTGTGCCCACCATGCTGCAGCCCCCACTGTTCTTGAGGACAGTGGTGCCCCCTGGGCAGTATTCAGTTCTCAGCAAGGGCGTGCTGACCACACACGGCTCATACAAGACGGCACCTTTTGAGCTGCTCACGGCTGCAGGAATAGGAAAGGATGCTCAGGGCCCTGAACTACCTGGCTCCGAGGACGTTGCCTTGAACTGCTCAGTCAGGCCATGCCCCCCACCTGCTGCCACTCACCTCTAAGGAACCTCCCATCTCAGTTACCAGTTCCCATCCCAGCCACAAAGAACCTACGAGTTCCCCACGTGCCTCTCCTCCATCGCCAGAGCCTTGACTTATGCTTCACCCTCTCTGTGTCTACTTGTCTGAGCCTGCTTCAAATCCTTTCTCCAGAAAAGCATCCCCTGGTCAGTAGGTTCCTCGCAGCTTCTGGGCCTGGAGCCCTGAAACCACGCTGCAGACCTGCTCCTCATCCCAACTCCCAAAGCCTTATGCAGCCTCTCAGGGGAGCTTCTCCCTCTGACTGGGAGCTCCCGGCAGCCAGAGTCCTCCTTTGGGGTGAGGAGGCATGCCGAGGTCTGGGCAGGGGTGCTGTCGTCTACGTTGGCTTGCTCAGCCCCCAAGACCCCCAGAGCCCCTGGGGAGTGCGCATCTACTCACAGATATTCACGGGCCCAATGCCTTCACACAGCCTGGGGTGAGAGGAAAAAGACACAGAGTAACTACATCGAAGAAGACAAGGCTGACACGGCGCCCCCCTTCTCCTGCCCACACCACAGGCCAGGTTCACAAGGAGGGCCTGCAGACTGTGTGCCACTCTGGGTGTTCCGTGAGGGTGGGATGGGCCATAGCAGCAGCAGCCCGAGGGCAGGACAGTGTCCACACCTGGGGCCCATCCTTGACTCACCGGCTCTCCTCGCCCTCCAGCAGGCGCCTGTAGGTGGCGATCTCGATGTCCAGGCCCAGCTTGGAGTTCATCACCTCTTGGTACTCCTTGAGCAGGCAGGCCATGTCCTGCTTGGCCTTCTGCAGGGCCTCCTCCAGCCCAGCCAGCTTGCAACGGGCATCGTTGAGGGCCACCTCGCCCTGCTGCTCCGCCTGGGTCACTGCAGCTTCCAGTTTGCAGCGCTGGGGGAGAGGGCACAGAGGCATTGCTGGGGGCCTTTGGAGCCCTAGGCCGACTCTCAGAGGAACAGAGAGGACGTGGTCATCGTGAGATAATAGAATGGGTACATGTTCTGTTATCTGTCGCTGGCACTGAGCTCCTAAAACTCTTGTAACTTCATACGTGATAAGAACACTGGGGTCATCTTTGTTTCTACTATTTGGTCTTTGTCCCAGGTTCCTTACAGAGATCTCCTAAGTACCTTGGAATTTCCCGAATGACAGCAGTGTCTCCTGTTCTAACGAGTGACTCTGGGTGGGCTCCTGGATGGCTCCCGGGTGAGGGTGGGTCCCAGAAAGACCAGGCTCGGAATTTTCAGTCCCACCCTCCACCCTCCAGACTGAAGAGAGGGGCCGGGAAGGACAGGCCATGCCTGCATGAGGAAGCTTCCATTCAAACTCCGAGGTGGGGCTCAGGGGCTTCCAGGCTGGTGGACACATGGAGGTGTTGGGACAGCGGTGCGCCCAGAGACAGCACGGAAGCCCGTGTCCTCTCTCACATACCTTGCCCTGCACATGCCTTCCGCATGCATGTTTGCTTGTATCCTGTGTCATATCCTTTTATGACAAACTCAGCAAGTAAACTGTTTTCCTGAGTTCTGTGAGCTGCTCTAGCAAACTAATCAAGCCCGAGAAGGGGGTTCCAAGGCACAGCAGACTGGTCAGAAGCTCAGGTGACAACCTGGACTTGTGATTGGCATCTGAAGTGGGGCAGTCTTGTGGGACTGGTGGGGCAGCCCTTCACCTGTGGGATCTGATACTGTTTCCATGTAGATACAGTCAGAATGGAGTTAAATTGTAGGATACCCCGCTGGGATCGCAGAATTGCTTGGTGTGGGAAAAAACCCACATATCTGGTGACAGAAGTGTTGTGAGTTTTCCCACAGTCTTGGTTACATGGCAGATTTAAGTCTGCTGTGGGTTTCATCCTGGGATTGTTCCTCTGGGGGAGTCATACCAGTTCCCCCATCCATAACACCTCAAGGAGATCCAAGAATTTCTCTGAGACACACTGAGCAATTTCTCGATAGCTAGTAGATTTTAAGTGTCTGGCTGGTCTTCACCAGCCTAGGAGAACAGGGTGGGTCTGATTTTATGAACTCTGCAGATTCACCTTGAATTTCAGGATACTTAAATTATAGTCTTGGGGTTGGAAGGGACTATGGGGACCATCTTTTCTATGCTCCCCTCTACTGAAGCCCTCTTGCTATTTTATCTTTGACAATAGGTCGCCTGGCCTCTGTTGGGGACCTTGCTGTTTCCAAGGCTGCTCCTCCCGCGGTTGGTCAGCTCTTTTGTAGTAAGGGCTGTGCCTCCTGTGCGAGGCAGCTTGAGTTTGTTCCCTCCTCCACAGCACTCTCAGGGAGGGTGCAGCCGCCCCACGTGACCAGGCTAGATGGCAGGTCAGCCTAGGATGAGCCCTCAGAACAAGGTCTCTCTGGCCTCACCTGAGCTTTGACGTTCTCATTTTCTTGCTGCAGCCGCTGGATCAGCTTGTTCATTTCCAGGATCTTGTTTCTGTGGTTGCGGAGGTTGTCGCAGTGGTTCCCGGAGGTCCGCTGCAGCTCCTCGTACTGCCGGGACCGAGAGGTCAGAACCCCGGTGCCCTGCTGTGGCACCTCCTGGCCCCCTTTGGCACTGTCCCGAGTCTCTCCTCTGATAACTTCCTGACTCAGGTGCCCCCCTGGATACTCACACTACCTCTTCTCCCCATTCCCTGCCCATTTCCGGTCAATTTCCCGGTTCTCTCCTGGGCTGCTCCTTAGTCCCTGCTTACCTCCCAGCCCTGAACACTCAGGTTTATTAAATTTTCCTCCAACTTCTGTGCTTCCTTCCTCTCTGTTTAGCTGTTCTGTCTTGTCCTTTTCTCTCTGCCCCAGAGCTCAAAGTTGTCCTGAGGGATCCTCCCTTTCAGATGTCCCTCTGGATCTCAGAAGGGTTTTCTGTGCTTAGCATGGGGTGGCGACAGACCGAGGATGGACCGTGTCTGCCCCCATGGTGAATACAGTGGTATATTCTTGTCCAAAGCAGTCGAAAACAAAATGCGATGTTATTTCTACCTCAGCTGAACTTTTTTTAAACTTTGCAACTCCGAAGCCAATTTCTGACTAGTGTGTTCTAGATGACAGATTTTTGAAAATTAGCCAACTAGATGTTCTGCACACAGTGGAGAGGAGCATTTTGCATGGACACTGCAAGACAGAGATAAGTACAAATCTCTCTTTGGCCCTTTGGGTATTTGGTTATTGTGCGAAAGCCTACAGTTGCTTAATCAATATCTACTCTCTTCTTCTTAAACAGAGCTCTTCTTTTGAGCCCAGACAGGAAAATATTGCTCAGCCTTCTTATCAATGAGATCTATGGCCCTTGCTGGGTAGGGTTTCCAGAAAATTTCTTTGAAGTGGAGGATGACTCAGTTGGCACTTTTTTCCCCTCTGTGCTTCTTTCTGCCTGGAGTGAGTATGTGAGGTTGGTGGTGTGGCGGCTGTTTTGAGACAGGAGGCAACCATGAGGCTTAATAAAGCGATGTTAAGGGTGGCAGAATAGAAAGCTAGACGGAGCCCGTGTCCTTGATGGTGACATAGACACCTTGGGTGAAATAACTTGAAGTCTACTTCTGTACTTCAAGTTATTTGAGAAAAAAGTGAAAACCTAAGTTGTTTTAACTAATGTTTTGAAAAACTTTCTGGTCCTCACAGCTGAATACAATCCTTGAACAATAGAGTTGTCTTTCTGGTTCTGGCTTAGAAGGATGGGAAACTGAGATTGTTTGTTCTGAGCCCGCTTGACTGATGGGCAGCCCAGGAGAGTGGCTGGAGGAGAAGGGACTAGCCAGGGTGAACCCTGGTGTGGATGGGCCACAGAACCACTGGGAACTCACTTCAGGCCAGGGGCTCGACACCTTTGGTCACCATGGATCTCCAGAAAATGGGCAGAATATCACTTGGGGCACTCTCTGAGCAGTGGTACTCATTGGCTTCAGAAAACAAGTCCAAAGTAACTACAGCTCTGCAGATTTGCTGTGCTCTGGTCCCATGCTCCCCTTCCAGCCCTATCTCCTCATGGTCCTTCACACTGGGAACCTCATTTTCATGCTCGGCATCCTGGCTGCAGCTGCCCCACAGCCAGATGCACCCTCCCCTCATGCTCTGCTGATTGAAATCCTGCTTGGCCTTCAAGATCCAGATCAAACGCCGATGGCTCTGCCATTCCAGGCGCTGCACGTGACCAGGTTTTTCTGTTTGGTTGGTTACACGTTCCTCTCCCCATGGACTGTAGTGTCCTCAAGCTCAGGGGTGGCCTGTCGCTTAGTGTCCTTGCGGTGCCACACACCTCGGCAAGACCATCCTTCCCTGGCTACCTTCTTCAAACCACATTCCCACCACACTCCCTACGGTTCACCCCGAGTCATCTCCTCCACAGCATGCATCACCATCTAACTCACGTGCACTCGCTTGTCTTGTTTGCTGTCGGTCCCCCCCCACCGCCCCGCCTCTAGAGTGGCAGTGACATGAAGGCAGGGATGCTGTCTGTTTTGTTCCCTGCCAGCACCCAGCATTTAGACAGTGCTCAGCACATGATGGATGCTCAAGAATCAGCTGTTGAATAAATACCTGGATGAGTGAGTGAGTGAATGGATATATGGTGCCCTTCACAGATGGGGCAGGTGAGACTGACATATCTGTTCAATCAAATTGCCATTGGGGACACCAACTGCCCTTACAGCAAGCTCCTCATGACCTAAGTCTGGGGCCACCTTAATCACCCTTTCTGCTTCACCATTAGTACCACTGCATGCCTTAGCCTCCTCTGACACTGTGAAGCCCAGAGTCCTCTTTGCCATCATTGTCAATTAATAATCCTTGAATTCACGTCAAGGGAGCCTGTGGGTAAATAAAGCTGGAGCACCCTGGCACTGTGATAATAGACCTGGGCTGTCTATGGGGTTCACTCTCCAATGTTCCATAGGCACCTAGCCAGGGGCCTGGCAGAAACACCAGGGACTGGGGTTTATGGGGTTCTCTTGACTCTGTCATTATCTTCTCACCCACTTTCTGGGGAAGTGGGTCCAGGGACCCCTCCCCAACCTGGGCCTCACCCGGCACTGGTACCAGGCCTCCGCTTCAGCTTTGCTGCGGCTGGCAATGTCGTCATATTGGGCCTTGATCTCAGCAATGATGCCGTCCACGTCCAGTGCCCGGCTGTTGTCCATCTTCACAACGACTGAGGTCTCTGAGATCTGAGACTGGAGCAGGCAGATCTCCTGGGGGGTTGGGTGAGGACGGGTGAGGTGTTCGAGGATAAAGGGAGAGAACCCACTCTGACCTTCCCAGAGCAGTTTCACACAGGACTTTGCTGTGGCTGTCCTGGGCCATCAATCACCCACTTGCTCCCTGTCCCCCATGCTAGTTGCACAGACACCCGGGAGCCAAGGTCTGGGCCATCAGACCTTGAGCTGAGCTGGGCCATCAGCTGGCTGAGAACCAGCTGTCCCGTGCTGACTTCTCCACATGCTCATTTTGCAGTCTGCTTGTCCTGAAACGTACCCACTGGGCAGGAGCTTTCCCAGCCCAGGGTCCTCACAGAACTGGCCCCTGATCTACCACCTGCAGGTGGTGTGGCTGCAGGTACCTCCTCATACAGGCCTTTCAGGAAGTCGATCTCCTGGACCAGAGCCTCCACGTTGGTCTCCAGGTCAGACTTCATCAGGAAGGCCGTATCCACATCCTGCATTCAGAGCATTAACATCTATAACCTGGGGTTGGGGGAACGTGGAAGGGCCCCCCAGTCCACCACCAGCTGGGCCATTCCCAGCAAGCTAGTGGTGGGTGGCAGGTGCAGGACCCACCTTTCCTCACTTAAGCCCATGTGAAAGTAAAGGGACCACAAAGCCAAAGATGGAGGGAGGGGTCTCTAGCCCCAGGACCGTATGCCTGGGCCTGGCACCTTATTGGGGGAGGATTTAAAGGGAATGGGGTTTAAAGGAGCCTTGAATGCAGCTCCTCAGAGCTCACTGTGCAGGGCCCGGGCCAGGAGCTACCTAGCTATCTGCCCGGGAAATCACGGCAATGGTTTTCATTGTTTGGAGTTTGAGTCAGAGTTTTTGTTTTGACTTTGATTTGGCATTGGTTACCTCCGCAGCTTCTTGGGCAGGTGTGGACACACCTTAACCAGCTTTGGCCCCTATAAATTGGGAGGTGGAGACCCAATCAATCACTGCCCTTTAGCAAGGGGTGGGGATGCTGGCCCTCCTCTTCCTCATGGTCACTTGGGCTGGCATTGGGCCCTGGGGGTGACAGATCCTTTTGCGTGTGGGTAGGCTGCAGACTCGTGTGGACACGGTGCCGGCGCTGAGTGTCCCGAGGCCAGCCCGGCCCGCTCAGGAGGCTCTCTCCCTGCCTGTGCCGACTCCCTCACCTTCTTTAAGGCAACAAACTCATTTTCTGAACAGGACCGCAGGGACAGCTCCTCTTCGTATCTGGTGGTGTGGGCAGGAAAAACAGTTTTAGTCAACCTGTGGCGTTTGGAAGGGACCTTGGTATCACACCTAAGAGAAGGGGCCTTTGTGGGGCAAAGCTGCCTCTCACTGACTCAGAGCTCTAAGGAGTCATCAGGTCCCTCTCCTGTCTCTGGACACCTCTAGCTGCTCCAGCCACTCAAGACAGTTGATTATTACCATAGCCTTTCATTAACTACTTTGCCAGTTTACCCCACTCCCATTAGCCTGTTCCTGTGATGAATCATCCTCTGGGAAGTCCCTCCTAAAGCTAACTTCATTCTGTCCTGCTGCTAAGGAAGCCCATTTTAGCTGATCATTTCCTATGGGAAGGTGGTGAAAAGCTGGCTGCCTGTGGCTGACATGACTGTCTATGAATTGTGTTGTTCTAAGAGTTGGCTGTAGTCCCTGAAATCCTAGCTGACCCCATGCCCTCCTCACCAGAGAGTCCTGAGCCTGGCCCCTACTTGCAGGTCAGTTTCAGAGGTAGTAATTACCCTCTTTACCAGACCTGCAGACATAGCCCAGCTATTTCCTCTAGGACTTCACTCACTCACTGCCCTCCAAGGCAATGGAGTCAAGGTCAAGAGGTTCAGTCTGGCCAGAATGACTCAGGTCAAAGAGCAACATTGATCCAGTAAAAGCTTCGCTGGGCTTCCTGACGCCCATCCTTCCTTTTCCCAGTGGAACTCTTCTGCATCGCCGGCACTGGGCATGGGAGCTCACCCTGGCTTTGAATCCTGCCACAGTCAAGTGCTAGTTGCGTGACTGTGACTTGCCTTCTCTGTGCCTCAGTTTCATCATCTGTAGAATGAGGATAACACTGGTCCTGCCTCACAGGGCTGTTGTGACTGAGTTAATGTGTCACATGTGTTAATATCTGCAAAACACTGAGCCTGGCATGGGATGTGTACTGTTGGCTATTCTTATTAAAATATCTTCTGCTCTCATCCTCTCCTACTGTAGCACATTTAAAATCCAGAGTCCTCATCATCTTGAGCTGCAAGATGTGGTTCAAAGAATTGCTGTGAGGGGGTCCTATCAGAAGAAAAAACAAGGGGAGCAAAACCTTGGAGTGAAGAAGGTTTGGGGACCTGTTTGGGGGATAAGATGTAGTTCAGGAAATGCCAAAGGGCCGGTAGAAGATAGGTCAGAACAAGCAGTTTGGAGTGGAGCCCTGGGATGCCAGAAATGGCAGGAGAAAGATGATGTTTTACACTGAGAGAGAGGATAAGGGCCTTCTTTAGGCAGGGTGGTGGGAAGGGAGATGAAGACCAATTTCAGAGTTTTTACCATGTGACAATGGGCAGTATCCTAGATGCTGTGCCTACATTATCCTACCTAATTGTTCTGCCAACAAATGAACTTAGTTTTAGGTTTCCCTAAAATATTTTATAGATGGGGAGACCAAGGCCTAGATGGTTTACGTAGCTTGCCCTGGGTTCCCTGGCAGGGTGAAGTCGGAGCAGACTCACTTTTTTTTGTAGCCTTCCAGTGCATTCTGGAGGCTGCAGAGCTCCGTCTGCAGCCTGACACGGTCCCCAGCCACACAGTCCAGCTGCCTCTGGAGGCTGCAGATGTAGGCCTCGAAGATGGGCTCCACGTTGCTCTGGCAGCACCTCTGCTGCTGCATGAACTTCCACTTGGTCTCTAGCAGCTTGTTCTTCTGCTCCAGAAACCGGACCTGCAGCCAAGAACAGTATGTCATTGGACAGCAGGCTCCCTGGGGACCATGGCTTGGGGAGAGTAACTGGTGGTGTGGGCAGTGAATCAGTTTCTGCTCTCTCTCCTAACACACTGCTGCCAACATGCTGCAGTTTACAGATTGGGTCTCCGGGTAGACTGGCACCTGAAGTTATGTCTCTGTGTCTCTCCTGCCTGGGGAAGCATATAGGACCCACCTCCCACCCAATGCTTGCACGTGTGGGAGAAAGTACACTGCCCCACAAGGCCGGGGCAGGTCCTCCTTCTAGTCCAGCCTGCCTGCCTGCCTGCCTCCCACCAGCCTGTACCCTTGTCCAGGCCATCCCACCCCTTTAAGCCTTGTTTTCTTTCCTAAAGCTCCTACTTTGGGTTGTGCATGGGAAGCACTTCATAGATCCTCCTACTAATGTAAGCAGGTGACATTATACCCAGGAGGGGTTGGGCTCTCTTCAGTTACAACCCAGGGACATGCGGGGGAGAAGGTGGTATCAAAGGCTCTGTCCCAGGACTTAAAGCTCTTTTCACTCACTCTTCCCCATCTTGCACGGCTGCATCCAAAAAAAAGTCCTTGGTACAGTAATGTGGAGAGCTGCTGGCCCACCTCCCCCACTTTTGTGGCTTGGAAACCTAGATTAGGAGAAGCTGAGCGAGTTGACCATGGTCACCCAGCTGGCCATCGGCAGAGACAACATGGTGTCCAGTCCTCGCTCTGGGATTCTCCCTATTGTGCGTTGTCTCCCAGAAGAACTGTAGAGGAAGTAATGTTGCCCTACTTCTGGTCAACTGGCACATCCTCAGGAGGCTTCCAGCCTCACAGAGGGTGTTGTGATACTGCTGACAGCCAGGGCCCTTGCTGATAGAATGAGCTTACAATCAGAACTTAGAAGCTTTCAAAATTAAACTGTGTGACAGGTCCCATTTACTAAGACAAGTTCCTTTTTGGAAGGCTTTTGCAAATATTACCTCCTCTAATTTTCCCACCACCATCCCCCCACCTCTTTTAACCTTCTCTGAGGCTGGGAGGTGAATGGTTTGCATAGGGCCTCAGGGTAGCAGTCAAGACTAGAGCCAATGGGTCTCCTGATTTCTGGCCCAAGACTCTTTGCCCTAAACCCTGCAGTCACAACAAGTGCCTGCTCAGACCTTGGCATGGGTTCTGATCCCCAAGAGCCTTTCTGGGGTGTGGGGAGAAGTCCAGAGGTGGCACAGGGTGACGGGACAGTTCAGTGCCTTCCAAAGGCAGCAGGCCACCCTTTCCCAAAGGCTTTTGGAGTTGTGGCCCTGGGTTGACACATATAAGACTTTGGTCACAAGCCTCTTCATCCCTGGCTCTCATTGCTGCACCTTTTCCTTGTCACAGGCCTAAGCTGATGGCAAATTTTGAGGTCACAGTGCCCATTCCCACCTCCACACCCAAAGGTTTGGCCCCAGCTCAGGCACTTAGAAAGCAGCTCTGCTGCTAAAGCCTCATCAAGAAGGTCTCTTAGGTTGTTCCTCTCACTATCTATCATTGCTTTGGAGGTTCCTCTTGTAGTCTGACCTCAAGCAACCTTGGTGATATCCAGAGAGAGATGACATGTTAAAAATAAAGGATAAGCAAACAGAAATGTTTTGTGCTGACCTTGATCTCACCCACTTTCAATGATTGGTGGTTGTGGAGTACAGAAGAGGTCAATAGATGAACCATGGCTTCTTATAGTCAGTCTTTTCCTGTCCCCCCTGGACCAGATACAAGATGTTCTCTGCATCTGACAGTCCTGGACTTCTTACCTTGTTGATGAAGGATGCAAAGCGGCTGTTGAGGCACTTGATCTGCTCCTTCTCGTCTCTCTTCACACTCTGCACAGTTGGGTCAATTTCCAGCTGGAGTGGGACCAGTAGGCTCTCATTGATGGTGACGGGGGTGATGCAGGCAGAAGGCCCACATGTGGCCCCAATTCGGTATCCAAAGACAGGAAGGCCACACCTGGAGGCGACCCGGGGCCTCCCAAAGCCCACATTGCACAGGCTCCGTGAGCCAAGGCAGCCCACGACTCGGAGGCCCCCGCCACACCCAGGCTGGCATGGCCCCTTGCTCACTGCATAGTGGGTGACCACCTGGGGGAGGACAGCTGAGCATGAGCTGAAGCTCCGACTGCCACATCTGGAGCCCTGCTGGAAGGATCGGCACGACATGGCAGGAGGGAGAGGCAGAGAGGTGGGCCCTGGTAGGGAGAAGGGGAGAGCTTCAGGTCAGCTCAGCTCCCACCCTTTTAACTGGTAGGGGGATGGAGGGCTGAGCTGGGTCAAACCCCCAATCACCATTAAATCAAGTTTATGAGCTTGTGAGATTGGCAGCTCTAAGTACCCCAGTGGATAATTAGAGTAGCAAAGAGCAGAGAAAAGGTGCCAATGGTCAGTGCTGGTGGCCCTATAAAAGTCCCATGTGTCCTGCTTCCTTGTTTACAGAGGTGATGAAAGGGCCAACCAGACAGATGTGTTTGGCACATTCAGAGTCTCAGTCTCAAGGGAAGGGAGAGTTCAGACTTTATGCCATTTTGCAGGAGAGAGGGCATGAATTAGAGGCCAGGTGAGATATGTTTGAGGATGCTTTACTTCCTCAAGGCTGTTTTTATGTGTTCCTGCAGATGCTCCAGGCCCAGGTCCCCTCATGGACAGGTGATCCTAGGAGCTCCCAGGACAGAAGGTTTTTGGGTGGGAGAAGCCTCAATAAGCAACCTGGGCCCTGTCCCTTCTCAGGCCAGGCAGGATCCTGGCTCTGGCTCCCTTGTCCTTTGTTTTTCTACAGCTCCTGAGATAGAAGCCTCCAGACACAGAGTCTTGTCTTTAGGGCTTGTTTAGTCCAGAAAGGCCACAAGGGACTCAAGAGGAGATGCCTTGTACTTGATGAGAGGAGAGGAAGGGATGCTTTTCCAAAACATGTAGCCATGTTGGCTGTTAGGTTGGGGTTCCATGTCACCGTTTCTTTGCCTTTCTTCCTACCCATCCTGAGCCTCCCTGAGCCCCAGGATATCTCTGGGGACAGTTGTTTCCCTCAGGAATTGTTCAGGTGGATACAGGATATAAGCCTTCTCCCCAGCATCCAGGTCACAGCTCTTCAAAGATGCTCGAACTATTACCCCTATTCTGTTCCCTCCCCCTTTCCATCAGTCCCATCAGTGAAACCACTGCTGTGGCCAATGTGTCTTTCTCTTCTACATCGTGACTTCTCCCAGGTCAGAATCAACTCAATAATAGTGAGAACATGTATTGGGTACTTCCTCTGTGCTGGACCACCCTGAGCTCTACATTCATTATCTCATTTAATTCTTATGATAGCACCATAATGGAGCTTCTATTTTACAGATAAGGAAAGTGAGGAGCAGAGTTGTTCACCTCCGCCAAGGCTGGGTTTAATTCCATCCTTTCTGACATCTCTGTGTTCTGCTGCTCTCGTGGAGGGAAGCCTGGGTTAGGAACTGGGGGTCTGCTGCCAATATGCATTATATTTTCCTGTTCCTTGGCTTTCCCACCTGTAGATTAGGAGACTGGGACTCAAAACTTTCTTGTGCTCAGAAATTCTCAGTCAACTGTGACATTCCACAATGTCTCCCTTTTGCATAGTCTTGACTTAGGGTCCCAGCATGCCGAGGAGGGAAGATTGGGCTGGGGCAGGTGAGGGCTGTAATAAGAGACTGTGGGCGATGATGGCATGGGGTGTTGCATGGTGCATGGGAAGGGAATTCTCATGGGACCCTGGAGGACGTGTCACAGCACTGGGCTTAAGAGATGGTGTTGGTGGTGATGGTGACCCTGAGCAGTCAGACCAGAGAGCACACTCCCTCCAGGCTCCCACCCGAGGGAATGAATGATGTAGAGGGCAGACTCGTGAGGGCAGGGCTCACTGGGGCCAATGTGGACATGGGGGAGCATTCCCTGGAAACACTGGGCCAGTGACTGTGGTCTCAGTGACTGTGTTGGACTCCCTGGAGCCCAGGGCCAGAGCTCTGGGGCAGGGAGTAGGGTAGTTCATTGGAAGGTACCTGCTCTCAGAGAACACCAGCTCCAAGGTTATCCTTTGAATGTCAGATAGGATACAGACTCAGTCAAGACCTAGAGAGCTTGGTGACATTTTATTGAAGCTATTTCAGGCAACAGGCAGGAATAGGGAGTGGGCAGTTGAGAAGGGTTTTAAACAATCAGAAGAGGGGTGACTTTTTCTGAAGCAGTGAACTCTCCAGTGTTCATGTCAGCTGTCTGACAGCCCATCTCTACTTGCCTTGGGAGTGCATTTTGGTCTTGAATACATACCAGGTGTTTTGAGGGTTTATGACTCATCTAACTTGATAGGGAAATTGCCCTGTGAAGGCCAGCCTCAGAAAGGTCTCTGTGCCACCGTCATTTCCCTATTCCACCGCCACCCTACCTCTGCCCTTCAAGAGGCTGGGCAATGTGTCCCCCCAGGAACACTGAAGGAAGAACTGCCTGTCTTCTGAGTCTGTTCTCTCGGGCCTCCCCTGTGGGGCAGGGCATTTGGTGGTCTGCCTGCGAGAGTTTCAGTTGTGGCTAATGCTGGGGGTGGGTAAATCCACACAATAGACACATCAGAGACAGGAAGATGGAAAAAGAAAGGTCAGGAGGGAGAAAGGAAAGATATTGCCAAATGGAAAAGTGGGGGAAGGAGAGGAAGAAAGGAGAGAAACAGGGAGAGAGGAGGAGCGGAAGGATGGAGAGAGGGAGCACGCAGGATGGAAGAGGATGAGTAGAAAAGGAGTGAGGGTGAAAGAGAAGGTGGAAAGATGGGGTAGAAAAGGAAAGAAAACTTCCCAGAAGAGATGTGGCCAGCACAGAGAAGAGAAAAGTCCTGAGCCTGGCCGGTTATTTTGTAGGAGGATTCCCCCAGGGCAGTTCTAGTAGAGGCTGATTGGGCTCCTTCTTCCAACATGTCTGTTGTAGGCTCCTGGTGCTGGGCTGCCTTTCCCACATGCTCACAGAGCCTGCCTCCTCCCCTCCTCATCAGGACATTTCTGTTTGGGCCCGTAATTCTAACGTGGTTTAAATGAGGCAGATTTGGAAGGAATTTGGCTATAAAATATCACCTAATGCAGCCCCTGGCCATAAAAATCTTTTGGATTCTTGATAAGATTATTCCATTCTCCTATAATAATCAAGAGTTGGTAATATTTGGATGGGTGTTGATTTCTCATTCAAATATTCTGCTGGTAGGAATTGTCAAGGGAAGTGGCTGGTGGCCTGGGTGAGGATAATAAGGAAGAAGGTGAGAAGGCCATATGTGGGCAGGGTTTGCAACATTTTCCTGGTTTCCGTGGTCTGCAGGAAAAGTGTTCTGCCTGTGCTGAGAAAGCTCACATGGAAACTCTGGGCCTAGACTGCATTCAACTTCCTTGGAGCACCAAGGTCAGTTCTACGCCCCACCCTGTGAAGGACTGTGGTTGCAGTGGATGTGGGTCAGACAGGAGTAGGAAGACCAACTGCATCCCTGTTCTGGAAGCTACTGAAGGGCAGAGTCCTAGCCCAGGTCTTGGCTCACAGCAGTTGAATCAGCATTAGTTAGAATGGATGCCTATGGCCCCTGAAGGGCTCCGGGGATGGGGAACAAGTGGGTGCCTCTGTGGGGACCTGTCTGAGGCAGAGGGATGGGTAAGGTGATCTCAGAACTCACAGGCCACTTCCCTGCTCCCTGTGCTTCCTGCTGCCAGGATTGATTGTGTGCAGAGGGTGTCAGCAAAGCGCGCGAGGGCCTTGGGGCTGGGAAATGGGGGCTTGGTGGGGCAGGGTGAGGGACGGAGAGGCAGCAGAGGCAGAAGGGGCCCTTTAGCTCCTATAACTCTTTTTAGTAGACGTCTTGGAGATGATGCGCATGCTGGAGGTGCTGCCACCCAAGTTGCGGCCACTGGTGGAACTGAAGCTGCCACCACCGCCTGAGCCATAGGAGAGGCCACTGCTGTAGCCGCTCCCGCCCACACAGAGGCCACTGCCTCCGCTGTAGCCTGTTCCGCCCGAGGAGGAGACCACAGCTGTGGAGAGAAGACACAGAGCACACTGGCAGCCTCCTCCAGTTTCCCAAGACCCACCCTGCCCAGACTTGGTGCCCATGGGGCTCCCTCCCATGGCACTTCCTCAGGGAACAGGAATCTCCTCTGCCTCCCAGGAGCCAGGGTCAGAGGGTGGGCATGGACTCCTGTCCCCATTGCACACTGCCTCAGTGTGAGCATCGGCACAGGACATCACACTTTTCAAAACGCTTTCACAGCTGTGACCTCACTGATCTCAACAGGCCTGAGAGGAGGCTATGACTATGAGCTCCCCATTTCACAGAGGAAAGACTGGAGGCACAAAGAGATCAAGACTGGACAAGCCAATGTCAGCCCTGCCAGAAACCAAGGCGTTAGGCTCCCACATGGTGTTCCTTCCTCATCTATACCAGGGGCTCTCACTGGATGGAACTTGAGGCCCTGTACACTGGGATCCTGGACTCCCATGCTAGAAGATGCCGGTAGGCCATCCAGATGTACCTCTCTGGATGCCAGTCCCTTCTGCTGCGTCCACAGGGACAATTGCTTAGTTTCTGATCAAATACTTTCAGTGACAAGGAGCTCACTGTCTCTAGATGCAGCTGTCCACAGACTGTCAAACATCTGAAGATGTGTCTCTGACCTCCCCTCCAGTATATATTTCTCCAGGGGAACTATTCCCATTTCCTTTATTAATCAGTTTCCAGCTCTCCCCCCTCCTGTTCTCCAGCCTCCCTAATGTGGTATGACCCACACAGGGCCCAAGGGGACTCTACTTCCCATGACCAGGACTCAGGGCTCCATGAATGCCACCTGCTGGGTCACTATGGGAGATGGTTCCTCCTCACCTCCCTCCTGTGGGCTGAGGCCAAGCCAGGCCAGTCACTGCTCGGCTTGTTCAATTAATTTGCTTCAATTCTAAATAAAGGTCTTTACATTTAATCTGTCAGGTGGTCTTTTGTTAGTTGTGTGAGTCTGAATGCCTGCCAGAGCTAGCTGAGAAAGCAGGGGTTCAGATGGGGGACTCATTGCTCTGCCAGTAGTTCTGTCCTGTCACTGGGGTCCCCTGAGGCATGGGTAGAGTCATTCCTGTGGACATATGACCCCACCAGGAGGGGCCCTGGGGGTGAGGAGCCATCAAAGCCTCTCTTGACTCCACTGAGAGGAAGGGCCAAAGAAGACAGGGGTCTCTGCGAAGCCCCTCAGAGGGTCTCAGTGATGTCCCTAACCCAGCTTGTTCATTTTCTAGTCATCAAATCCTTGTTAGTGATGCTATTCGCTTCCACTTTGTCTCCCACTTTTCTATCATCCCAAGACATTTACTCACAGATGTTCACGGATCCGACACCTTCTCCAATGAGTCTGTTGCAGGTGGGAGAGAAAGAGACATTTGCTGAGATGTTAAAGAGCCCTGGCTTCTTTGGGCTTAAAGTTATCAGTACAGAGCACTTACTGTGTGCCAGGCACTGTGCTTAGCACACTTATCTTTCATCTCATTAGCTTAAGGAAGTTTCTGTGAATCTGTGAGGGGACATCTGGAAGATAAATCCAGTTTCAACATGTAGAGAAATGGGGAGAGGGACCTGTGCTCACAAGACAGAGAGGGGCAATCAGACAGGGGACTCAGCAACACAGAGCCCCTGATGCTTGTCCCAAGTGTGGCCTCATTTGTCATAGGGTCTAGGCAGAAATGACCCTTATTATGGCTTTCCAGGTAGTCATGGGCCACTTTTCCCTGAGACCTTTCACCTTGCCCCTGCCCTAGGTCCAACTGGAGCCGTGGGAGGTGCTGTGACTATAGGAGGCTTCCAGGATGCTTCCTGCATTTGAACCCTGTTTCTTCCCTTGGAATTTCCATCTGGGGCTGACCTGGTGGGGCTCTTGGCCTCTGTGGCATTGTTATAGTGCTCTGCTGGAGTCTGTTTGAGACATGGTAGAAGGAAAAGATAACCCACCGGTTCTCCTCGCCCTCCAGCAGCTTCTTATAGGTGGCAATCTCGATATCCAAGGCCAGCTTGACATTCATTAGCTCCTGGTATTCACGCAGCTGCCTGGTCATGTCCTGCTTGGCCTTCTGCAGGGCGTCCTCCAGCTCGGCCAGCTTGTGCTTGGCGTCCTTGAGGGCCAGCTCCCCACGCTGCTCAGCATCTGCGATGGCGGCCTGGAGTGCGGCACACTACCAGGAGGACACAGGGGTTTGTGAAATTGTCCACAGAGAATGCAGAAAGATGTGGGCTTTAGGTTAAAAATACAGAGGAATATTTTTGAAGTGGATTTCATGCAAAGAGGCTGGAGCTTCATCATGTTTATGAATAAGATTAATCTCTGCCCCCTGTGGATAATTTGAGACTTAGCCAAGATAGAGAAAATGATTCTGGGGGTGGAGTCCTTTCCAGTGCTAAATGTCTCTGGATAGTGGGTAAGTAAGGCAGGTCAAGGTTTTGTCATGGATGCCTCCAGGGATAGAACCTTTCCTGGAAGCAGTGATGTTGGACAGGATTCAGGAAGAAGGTCCTGGCACCCCTGGAGAAGCAGGAGACTGGATGGTCACCCATCTGGGGAGGCTTCACTCTGCATGGTCTGAGTTAGGACTGGACCCAGGTCTGCCCAGCATGGCTAGGATGACCTTTGGGAGCTCAGTCCTATACTACCTGCTTCTTCAGGTTATCAATCTCAGAGCGCAGCCTCTGCATCATCCGGTTCAGCTCAGAGATCTCCATCCTGGTGGTGCGAAGGTCGTCCCCGTGCTGGCCAGCCGAGCGCTGCAGCTCCTCGTACTGGGGGGAAGGAGAAGCAGGAGGCAGCAGATTCAGGCCAGAGAAGAGAAGGCAGTGGTTTCCCAGAGCCCAACAGGCTTTCAATAGGCTGCCTGGAGGCCCCTCCTTTGGCCTTCATAACTCCCCGTCAGATCCTTCCCCAGTGCCCCTGGGCTCTGCCTCTCACTCTTGGTGTCCAGGGCTCCACCCCACAGTTGGACATTTCTTCTTGGATCCAGTCTTTTGTTCCTCTCCCTTGAAACCAGGTATTTCATTCTCAGCCTGTCATGCTCTAATTTTAAAGCTCTTTCATATTTGTTTTCCTTGGTACCATATCTCATATCCCAGATACTCCCTGGCTCAGAGTGTTTGCTCTAATCTGGAAAATCCCATTGTGTGACTGATATCCAGCCTTTGTCCTCTTCCCTCCCCAAACCCTCAGTCCCAGACTATTCTAGCTTCCTCCTCTGGATCCAGGAGGCTCGGCCTACCTCTTGTTCCCACCCACCCTCCCTCTCTCGCTCCTCCTTGCACTGGTGGATGGTATGTCCCACTGTCCCTTGCCTCTCCTATACAGGACATTGGAGGTGTGTCCATCCTTCCAGTGGCAGAAGAACTGACCACCTCCTACCTTCATCTTGCTATTCCCTCAGCTCCTGGCTGTGCAGCCCAAGGAGTGCTCAGCACAGAGGGTAAGCCAGGCTGCACTCAGAGAGATCCCTTCACCTCCACCAGACTGGGGCACCTGAGAGGACAAGGGTTTATCTTTGAAACCCCAGTTCTGTACAACTGTTTCATGGATATGATGTGGATACCTCACCTTGGTCTGATACCAGGACTCGGCCTCAGCCCTGCTGCGGTTGGCGATGTCCTCATACTGGGCTTTGACCTCGGCGATGATGCTGTCCAAGTCCAGCTTGCGGTTGTTGTCCATGGACAGCACCACAGAGGTCTCAGAGATCTGGGCCTGCAGCTGAGCCAGCTCCTGTGAAGGGGTCCAAATGGGTGAGCTGAAGCAGGATGTCATGTGTGTGCATGTGTGTTGGGACACTGTGACCAGGTCCTCAGAGCAGATCTTGACATTGAGGGTCTCACTTGCACTGTTGGGGTGTAGCACGCTGCTTAGGTCTAACAGGGCTGGGGCGTTAGAGAGGTCACTGGGTTCACTCCCATTCTTTATCACCAACTCATCTGCACGGAGGGAGTGGCAGCTCAGAAACTCCAGCTGCTTTGTCACTCCCGTTGTGAAGGGAATGCACCTTGTTGCAACCTGTCTGTGCCATGATGTCTCATATTCCGAGTAAAACGCAACCTTTCACACCAAATAAAGAAATCATCTTGTGAAAGAAAACTGAGTCAGATGGGGCCAGAAAGCTTTGCTGCATCTCAGTCTTGTTTCCCAATTTTGCTCCTCCCAGCTCCTCAGGGGCAGGAAATGGAAATTTGCTGGAAAGAGCAGAAAGGGCACCACATCGAAAAATTCAGGTCTTGGATCTGCTGAGCAGGTTAGATAGCATCTCTGAGTCTCAGACAGGAGCATTAAATAAATTCATGTCCATGTAAGATGATTTTTGAGACAACAAACCCACAATAATTTGTTAACGACCACTGCTCAGATTCATCTAGGGCAGTGGTTCCAAGTAACAACATGAATGACCAGCAACATGAACATCACCTGGGAACTTGGTTGAAAGGCAGCACTTTGGGCCCCACCACAGACTCACTGACTCAGATTTGGTGTGTTACTAGGACCTCTAGAAGATTCTGATGCCCTGTAAAACTTGAGAGTAACTGGTCCAAATCACAAGTCTAAGTAAAAATATTCCTTTGTTTCTTAACTAACAATTGGTTCATGTGTTTCCTGCTTCAGAAAATTGTTAGTTTGTTGTTGTGCCCTGCGATTTGTTTTTCATAGTTTTTTTTCTGGGTAGCTGATGTAGCTTAAGAGTCTCAACCCATGGGCTTACTGGGCTATGGGCGAGTTCAGAATTAGGAGCCAACAGCACACTGGTTGTCAGCATTAAAGTGAATAAGTAGAGAAAATGATGCCTTTTTGCCCCATGTGGGCTGTTGGTCACTGAACCCATCCAGAAACACAGAGCTGATGTTCCTGCTTCTGGAACAACATGACCAACTTCAGTTGGGCACCAAACATGTAACCCCCTGGGCATATCACCCCCTGGGCATTGTGTCCCTACCAGGCCTACCTGGAGGCACACAATGCCCCCTACATTCTCTCCTCAACATCGCTGATCCCATCCCTACCACTTTCCCCTCACTCACTCTGCTCCAGCCAGGTTGTCTCTTCCTAGCATTCCTGCTTGCCACTGCTGCTCACTGTCATTTTTTTCATTGTCCGTATCATGCCTGGCCTAGTATTGAGTATGTGCTGCCTGTCTTCCCCACTGTAATGAAAGCTCCAAGAACTCAGGGGCTCGATTGTGTTTGCTCAACACTCTGCCCACAGCTCCCAAGAACAAAGTCTGACTCCTAACAAAATGTGTCTTCAGAAGAACCAGGCAATCGTATTGCGTGCTTCTAAAAGCACCTGAAGGCTCACTGTCACTTGATTTGCATAATACCGTCATCCTACAGCCAAGAACAACAGGTAAATTTAAGCTGAAATGGGTGAACCGGGTTGCTCAGATAGTTCTATGGAAACCATGTGTAATTCAATGACAGGCAGTTCTTTTGTCTGATCAGCAGAACATGTGTGATCCAGGTAGTTGAGGTTAAATTTCTCACCTCACCTGACCCATCAGCTACCACAGAACTTCATTTTTCTCCTTAAGTAGGGAAAGCAGCATCTGCTCCATGAGTTCCAACCCCGGGATGGGGTGGGGAGCAGAGAAGAGATCAGAGCAGGAGCTTTTAGCCTTGGTGCCCAGCTGAGGGTATCCCGACTCCCTTGGCTCTGAGAGGAGTGGTGGACACTGCTTACCGCATCATAGAAAGCTCTCAGGAAGTTGATCTCATCCATTAAGGCATCCACCTTGGCCTCCAGCTCCACCTTGTTCATGTAGGAGGCATCTACATCCTGGGCACAGAACATACTGTCACTCTGAGTCCTACCCAGTCTGGGGTAACCTTCCCCTCTGTCAGGCAGGAGAACTTCATCTTCCAGGGATGAGAACAGTTCTTTATTTTAGGCTATGGAGTTGCAGGGGAGGGGAAGGGTGGCGGGGTGGGAGGGGTCCAAACTGTGTGAGGGCATTCCCAGGGCTCAGGGAATGCCCACAGCTCATCAGCTGGTGCCACATGGAAAGATTTCCTGTGTCACTTCCACATCATGAGGACAACCCCATCCTGGGCCCTTGGGCTCTCCCAGCTTCTCCCCGAGGTTCTCAGTGGCTTCCCTTCCTCCTCAAACTTTCTGCCCCTTCCTCTTCTTCATACACAACTGTTCCTTTCTCCCTCCTGCAGCTTAGCTCAGGCCTGGTTCTCCCCTCTCTCTGTCTGTCCCCTGCTGAGCAGAAAGGCCCACAACTCTGTGGGGCTGATGCTTGTCCCACACCCATCCTCCGAGCCTACCTTGGTGTCATGGAGACTTAGCCCAGCATAAGGCCTATTTTGCTTCACCTCTCCCTGCACTGGACTCCACATGGGGAGGGGGCCCATGTCATGATTTATGGTTTGGACTTTGGAGCCCTGGATCCTGACTCACTTCTATTACCTGGCTAACCTGGGGCAACTTGCTTAACCTCCATGAGTCTGAGTTTTCTCATTTCTTAAGCAAAACCTGCTTCCAAGATTGTTTGCACAAATTATTTAAAGCCTTGTATGCAATGCCAAGGGCTTAAGAGGCAGCTGTCACTCCTGAAAGGGGCTGCCTGGGCATCAAAAGGGAGCATCCCTGTCTCCTCACCTTCTTGAGCATCACAAACTCATTCTCTGCCACTGTGCGCTTGTTGATTTCTTCTTCATACCTGTGAGAAGCATCAGATGTGGATTTGTGTTAGGATGTGGGGCTGTAGGTGGGCAGGCCACCGTGGGTCTACAGAGCATACCTAGAAAATGCATTGTTGTAGCAGAGCTCTCCTGTGACATGCATGACTCCAAATTCCATAGCAACCATCACCCACCTACCCCTATTCAATCAAAGCCCAAACCCCAAACAATGAAAAAACAGAACCAGCCCTCATTCTTTCTGAGCTTGCTTTTCACACATCTCTGTCTCTTAAAGTGCTTAGGTCCCATAAAGGGGTATGCATGTTTCTTTTTATACCTATGGTCTTGCTCCATAGGGGAGGAACAGAGAAAAGTAGGAGATGGGCAGTCCTAGGCTTCAGCAGCTTCTCATGCCAAAGGTACCTTCATGCCTCTCTGTTCTGTCCTTGGCCATATTAACCCTGGCCTAGGAAGCAGAGTATTCAGGCTAATAGGAGTGACCCACCCTGTCTTCAGCTTCCTCATTCTTTAATCTTTCCTTAGGTAGCACCCTTCATCCCCACCTGCCCCCTGCCACTTTGCTCACTGATCTCTGGTAGGAAGTTGCACTTCTATTCTAGTGACCCATTTCCTACCCAACCTTTCTAAGTATCAGGCAATACCACCCTCTCAATCCCAGCTCTGGACAGCTGTGGTTGGAGTTTTGTTTCCTCCACCATCCAGCTGAGTAACCCCAGGCATATCACTTAACCTTTCATAGGTGCCCTTCCCCTCGATGAAATGGGATGTTGTTATTCTTTTGAATCCACAAGGCCCTGTCCCACATGATGTGTGTAGGACATACATCATGTACAGATCTCTCCTGCTTTCATATTGCTTCTGTTGTCCAGCAGGATCTGAGACAAGTTTTTTACTACCAGTTAATTTGTTTTTCCTTATTGAGTCCTTGCATTGCCTTTTCACTAAATATGAATGTCTGTTCTTCAACTAATTCCATGCAGCTCTCCATGTCTTCTGTGATTCCCAGCTCACAGGCCCTCTGCCAGAGGGTGAGCACCAAGTGGTCCTACACAGGCCTCTTAGACACCTGCCACAGGAACGTTGCAGTCTATTAGCTAGGGGCATATTCTTCAACATCTCCCCCCCTGTCCCATATCCTTCCTCTGTGCCTCCTTCCTTCTCAACATCAAGCTTTCATCTCTTCCTTCTTGGATGGAAACACTGTTACTACATGTTTCCATCCATCTGCACTTGATTTTCTTGTCGCTACACACACATACCTAAATAGCAATACAATAAAATACCTAACCTGTATTAACAACTTAATATGTGCCAGGCCCTGAGCGCCCTACCAAGTAGTTTATATGCAAGTTTTGATTTAATATTCTCAACTCCCATATAAGGTGGGTAGTATTAATATCCCCTTTAACAGACAATGGAACTGGGGCTTACAGAAGTGAGTTTTTTATTTTGAACCTCCTGCTCCCCATCATTTCACCACCCTGCCTCACTCATGACTTGGCAGGGTTCCGTTCACCTGCCCGGTTCTCTGGGGTGACTATACCAAAACTTGCATTTAAGAAAATAGGCACCAGGTTGCCAGTCAAGATGGAGGCATAGGGAGACATGCTTTGCCTCCTCACACAACCACAGGGAGAATTGCAACTAAACCTCAAAACAAATAACACCCAGAACTCACAGAAAATCGAACTGTATGGAAGTCCGACAACCAAGGATTTAAAGAAGTCACATTCATCCAGATGGGTAGGAGGGGTGGAGATGTGAAGACAGAGAGGTGAGAAGACACAGTGAGGTGGCAGTGGGAACAGGCAGTCCCACATTCATGTGTGATGGATAAAAATCAGGAGGGATGCCTTGGGAACAAGCAATCCCAGCCCCAGGCCAGACTGCACACCCCAGGGTTCCAGCACTGGGAAGATATATTCTCATAACCTCTGGCTGTCAAAAACCATTGGGAGTTGGGGCAGCAGAAGAAATTTCCAGATTTTCAGGAGACTCCACTTAAAAGGGCCTGCATAGTCTTAAAGTCTGTGTAAATCCACCCACTTTGGAATTCACCACCAGGGCAACAGCTGGAAGGGCATCTGTTGCATAAAGGAAGTGGGTGAAGTGACTGGAAATGGGGGTGAGTGCCGGACAAACCTCCAGAAGCCAAGCAGCATCACTGTCCCCTCTCTGAGCCCTCCCCCCACACAGAGCCACAAAGTAGTGTAGCAGATTGCCCTGGGCTGGTGATTACCTAAAGTTCCACCCCACACAATTTGCAGGTGCCTTTTCTATAATAAGCCATGCTACTAAGACAGGGAGTCAAAGCAGCTCTATCTAATACACAGAAACAAAAACAGGGAGGCTACCAAATTAAGGAGACAAAGAAATATGGCCCAAATGGAAGAACAGAACAAAACCCCAGAAAAAGAACTAAACGAAATGGAGATAACCAACCTATTAGATGCAGAGTTCAAAACATTGGTTATCAAGATGCTCAAAGAACTCATTGAATGTGGCAACAACATAAAGGAATAAATAAAGGCTACACTACATAAAATAAAGAAAAATCTACAGGAAATCAACAGTGAATGAAAGGAAGCTGGGGTTCAAATCAATGATTTGGAACATAAGGAAGAAATAAGCATTCAACCAGAGCAGAAAAAAGAAACAAGAATTCAAACAAACACACACCAAGGAGAGTATAAGAAGCCTCTGGGAATCTCCAAATGTACCAACATCTGAATCATAGGGGTGGTAGAAGGAGGAGAGAAAGAGCAAGAAATTGAAAACTTATTTGAAAAACAATGAAAGAAAACTTCTCTAATTTGGCAAAGGAAATAGGCATACAAGTCCAGGAAGCACAGAGAGTCCCAAAGAAGTTGGACTCAAAGAGGACCACATCAAGATACATAATAATTAAAATGCCAAAGGTTAAAGATAAAGAGAGAATCTTAGAAGCAGCAAGAGAAAAGAAAAGAGTTACCCACAAGGGCTTCCCATAAGACTATCAGCTGATTTCTAAAAAGAAACTATGCAGGCGAGAAGGAACTGGCAAGAAGTATTCAAAGTGATGAAAAGCAAGGACCTACAACTTAGATTGCTCTATCCAACAAAACTACCATTTAGAATGGAAGGGCAGATAAAATGCTTTCCAGACAAGGTAAATCTAAAGAAGTTCATCATCACCAAGACATTATTACATGAAATGTTAAAGGGACTTATTTAAGAAAATGAAGAAGATCAAAACTATGAACATTAAAATGGCAACAAATTCACAACTATCAATTAAATCTAAAAAACCCCTCAACAAACTAAGCAAACAACCAGAACAAGAACAGAATCATAAATATGGAGATCATCTGGAAGGTTATCAGTGGGGAGGGGGAAGGAGGAGAAAGGAGGGAGGGAATAAGAAGTATAATTGGTAGGTAGAAAATAAACAGGGGAGGTTAAGAATAGTATAGGAAATGGAGAAGCCAAAGAACTTATATACATGACCCATGGACATGAACTAAGAGGGGAGATTGATGGACCGAAGGGGGCTACCAGGGGGAGGGGGACAAAGGGGGAAAATTGGGACAACTGTAATAGCATAATCAATAAAATATATTTAAAAAAAGAAGTGAGTTTTCTTTAGGTCTTTCAGCTAGTAAGTCATTCAGCCGAGATTCTAAAGCCACTGACTAGACTCTGTACTGCTGCCCAGTAGGATTTTCTGTGGTCATGGAAATGCTAAAATGTGCTATATCTGCATCCACTGCTGTGGTGTCCATTAGCCACGTGTGGACTGAGCACCATCAATGTGGCTAGTGGGACTGAGGAGCTGAATTTTACATTTTATTCAGTTTTAGTTAATTTAAATGTAAACAGGCATGTGTGGCTAGTGGCTACCGTGTTGACACAACTCTAAAGCCTTCACGCTTACCATATTACACAAGCAGTAACTAAAACTCCTTATCGAGTGGCTCATTTTGTTTGGATCAGGATAATTAGAAATAAATTAGAACAACAAAAATAAGAAGTTACTGGTGTCTATGGGCACATCTTTAGTGATGTGTGCATGGGTGTGTGTTTCCAGGGAGAGGGCAACATATATGGGTTCTTTCCTCTGTTCCCCACCCCTTGGGGTAAATGCATTGTCAAGTGTAAATTAGCCATGGGACTGAGTTCAACAAATGTGAGCATGAGATTCTATGAGTTTAATTCTTAACTCACGAGTTGCCACTTATATAAACTTGGATAAGTCAGTTACTTTCTCTCAGAGCCTTACTTTCTGCAGAATTTATCAGGTCGTTGTGTGTACCATGCTCTCTGTGCCCATGTTAGTTTCATCCTATGTAACCCCAGCCCCTCCCCAAAGCCCCAACATTCTTGACTGCAAGGTTCCAGTTCATTTTCTGAGACTGCCTTGGTACTCTAAGTGTGTGTCCCACGTCCCCGCTGAACTGGGCACTTCCGGAGGAGTTGGCTGAGTGTCCACTCACTTGTTCTTGAAGTCCTCCACCACATCCTGCATGTTCTTCAGCTCCGTCTCCAGCCTCGCCCTCTCTCCACCCAAGCTGTCCAGCTGCCGTCTCAGATTGCTGATGTAGGCTTCAAACATGGGCTCGATGTTGGCCCTGGTGGTTTTATGCTCCTGCAGGAGGCTCCATTTGGTCTCTAGGACCTTGTTCTGCTGCTCCAGGAACCGCACCTGCACCAGCCAGAGGTAAGAGACTGTGAGAGCTTCCTTACCACAGCGTCTCAGGACCCTCCCAACAGTGCAGGGAAGTGCCCTGTAAGGCCTCCGAGTCCAGGTGGCAGGCTCCTTCTTGTCATCCTCAGCCTGGAAGGAGCCTGGAATGTAGAGAGTCAAGCAAGTGTAGGTACAGTGGGCCTGGGACACAGGTGGTGGCTTGGTTTGGAGGCGGGAGAATCAAGGAGGACCAGAAGGGCTGGAAACTCTCTGACCACACCAAACCATGCTGATGTGTGGTAAGAAAAGAACACTCCACCATCACATTACTGGGTAAAATTTTGATTCCCATTAAGTGGGTAGGAGGTTCTTGGCAGAAAATTCAACCTGTGTATTTTCTTTCCAATGTAATTCCTTGAGATCTGGAAGCCAGACTCAGTTGCTCACACACTCCAGGCATGCTGGAATGGATCACCCTGCAGTGGTGTGGAGGGGATCTGGGCACAGTCCCAGCCATGTCCCTCTAGCTACATGGCCTTGGAAAGCCCCTTCCTCTCTCTATTCTCTCAGCTCCTCTGCGGTCTTGTGCTACAAATTTGGCTTTCTTGAATTGTACTTATTGGCCCTTCAGCCTGGAACAATATGCAACACTTTCTCCCTAAACAATGTCCTTCCCTTGGGAGCAGATGGAATGACACATGACCTCAGAGAATGAAGAAATAGCCTCCAAGACTTTGTAGATGGCAATGTGCCTGCAGAGGGTCTCTGACAAACATACCTACCCCACCAGCTTTCTCTTCTTTTACCAGAGGAAGGAGGGTGGTCCTGGCTCCAAGTCCCTCCCTAGTTACAACCCTTTATTCCACACCTAGGTCCCTTCAGATGAACCTAGGCAAAGCAGGGCCCACATTCTCTCCCTCAGAGCTAGGCTCCTGGAAATCTCACAGCTGTTGATACGAACACCAGACCAAGTGGGGTGGCATGGGTGATACAGGTGAAGAACTACTGCCTCAGTGGTTCACTTTCACACATTTAAAGATCTGGGTCCATATGATGAGGCATTTCATAGACTGTTAGACCTGCAAAGGTGCCTTAGAGTCCATCTGTCCAACCCAACCAAGGCCTGAGAAGTTAGGGATTCTCTTAGCCAGAGAGCCAAAAATGGACCTGGGCTGGTTGCCTCTAGGTTGCCTCTTGAATTGTACTTATCAGCCCCTCAATCCTTCTTCCAGATCCCAGGTGTGGAGTCTGAATGACCCAGATATTTGAGCTGGTTCTTCCCAGGTAAAAACAACCAGCTCAGATGTGAACCAGTGGTATGACTCAAAACAAAATTATTTCTTTCCCCAAACTGGGAAATCCCTAGGATTCCAGGCCACACAGCAAAGGGGACCCAGGGACGAAGTCACAGCTCTCCTCTTTCCGGAAGAAAAGAGTGAAACACTTTGAGCAGCCCCTGGCCAACCTGCAGCCCCCCAGACCTGCCCCGATCACTAGAGAGGTTGCCACGGGAAGACCTCCTATTTAACTTGGGCAGGAAAGAGTGACCTCAGCCCACTTCTGAGAACTGAACTTGTATCCTTTCTTCCCTTTATCCCCTTCCCTCCAAACCAGTCCCCTTTCAGTGTCTAATTTTAAGTGCACAACACAATCACTAGCCATCAAAAGACAATGAATGCCCTTGCAGTGGGTCAGAAAGCTCTGGAGCCTGGAGGTGGGCATTTTTCCACTCCCACCTCAACAAAGCGGAAAACTACCCCCTCCTCCCCAGTAGTTTTCTCACTCCCCAGGATCACAGGTCTTGAGCAAGTCTCAGTTGACCTCAGAAAGGCACAGAGAGCAGAGATCCCCCAGTGTTTCTGGCGGGCACCCCATCTGCCTCTCACCTTGTCGATGAAGGAGGCAAACTTGTTGTTGAGGGTCTTGATCTGCTCCTTCTCCTCCTTCCGCACTCGCTGGAGGGAGGGGTCGATCTCCAGGTGGAGGGGGGTCAGGAGGCTCTGGTTGACAGTGACCTCCTGGATGCCTCCAGCTCCAGGCATCATCCCACCTCCAAATCCCCCTACCCTGTACCCTATGCCGCCAAGACCCATCCCATAGCCAGCACCACCGTAGCCCCGGTTGGAGCGGTAGCCCCCGCTGACGGAGATTCTCTTGCTGCCTCCAAGGCCGTGGAGGCTCCTGGTCCCGAAGCCACCCCCGAAGCCACCCCCAAAGCCCTTCCCACCCTGGGTCACAGAGACAGAGCTGAAGCTGGTCCGGCTGCCTGGGAGGAGGTTCGCTGAGGAAGCACTGAAGTTCCGAGTGCCCCCTGACTTGATGGTGACAGAGGATCGTTGGGTCATGATGGGAGCTGGAGCCAGAGGGTCAGAGGAGTGAAAATGTCAAAAGGATGAGGAGGCTTCAGAGTCTAACTCTCCCCAAATCTCCTTGACTTTTATCCCTTTCAAGAACTGGGCTTGGCCAAAGAAGATCAAAGACCACTGTGTTGAGTTCATCTCGATGGCATGTCTGGCCACGGCCCATCTTCCTGCCCCACTAATCATCATGGGAACACCCTACCTAGGGCAGGACCGGGCCTGGGCATTCGAGCCCGGGGCAGGCCTGGGTCTTGAACCCCCTGCCTGCCCAGGTTCTCTGCCACATGCTGGAGACACTCCCACTCTAGTTCATCTGCTCCTCTCATCTTGCTTTCCAGGTCTTGGACTCTGAACCAAATGCTTGATTACGCCCTTCCCATGGCCATGGTCACTTATAAAGAAACACCATTTATTGAAGATTCAACCTGTGTGAGATCATGTGGCAGGTCAGTAGCAAGGACTGTGTCATTTGATTCTCATGATAACTTCGGGAGAGTGATGGCAATACGAATTGCTAACATTTACTGAGCAGCTACTATGGGTAGCTAGTTTACACTTGTCTACTCGTTCAATATATACACAGCACCCTGTGGTGGTTATTTCTGTTCTTGTTTTGCACACGAAGCAACTGAGGCACGGAGCAGTTAAGAAACTTGGCAGACTTTGCATAGCTGGTTGCCATGGCATCGAGGGAGGGCCCAGTCATCCAACTGCACCTCATAGCGATGGACAGAGGTGGCTTGTCAAAGACAAGCAGACTCAGAATTTCACTCCAAATTCCTGTCCCCTCTACTCCTCTTGTCCTGGGTCTTTACTTGCTCCTCCCCTCTTCCACCAGGGATATTTAACAGTTGTTCTCAGTATCATTTCTCTCCTGCTTGCCATCTTCCCCCCTTCAACCCTTCCAAAGTTTCCTTTATGAGAGGGAGTCCGGGAGGCTGTAAACTCAGGAATGTGGGAGCTTCCCCGGATGTCTTATTGCTGCAATTATGGGTCTGAATGTCTCCTCTGCTGGGTGAAAGCACTGCCCCAGGGCAGACTTTTAACTCCAGTCCTGCCCTGTTATTTCTCTGCTCAGGTCTGCAAGTTTGAAGCTGTCAGGGAACAATGGCCCCTTTGCTGGCAGAGGGCTGGGCAGCCCACCCTACGTCAGTGTCCTGGAGGAATGGTCTGGCTTTGGGAGGGGATGGCTTCACTCTACACGACACAGGTAGGGAGGAGGTTGGATAGAGCCTCTTCCCAGAGGTTTGGGCTTCTCAAAGAAGGCATCCCAATGAGAGGTAGGAGGAAATGGGCAGAAGCTCGGGTGTAGAGTCTGCCCTCTTGTTCCTCCCATCTCTCCCCGCTGTCCAGCCTTCTTAGTTCTGGGCGGGAGTGTGGAAGATGGTTTGATGTGCTCTGAGCACTCCTTGTATGGGTCCTTGTGCTGGGAGGAAACCTGAGAAGGAGGAGCCGGAGGAGGAGGAGGAGGAGAATTGCTGTGTACTCAGGTCACCATTCCAAACAGAGGGCTGGACTCCAAACACATTACACATACCTTTAATTGACACATTCCAGGGAGGGGAGAGAGGGAGCCCTCACTCCCAGCAGACAGCTTATAAGCACCGTGAGACAACGGGGTTGACAACCTGGCATTAAGATGGCCTGGGAGACACTGACTCCCCATTTCTGTATCCGGAGGGAGAGTGGAAGGCAGGGCTGAAGGGGGAGTCTCTGCAAGACAAGCTGAATGTGAATCTTGAAAGTCTCTGTGCTTTGGCACAGAGAGGGCACCAGCAGCGGTCTGGGGACTGTCAGGAGGGCAGAGGCTGGCTCAGGTTAGAAGATGGGGTTTAGCCACGATGCCAGACTTCCTAGAGCACAGGTGGGTCTTGTGAAGGGGAGCAGGAGAATGACCCAGGTCAGTGGGCAGATCTGACTTCAGGACAGGAGTAGGGGAGTGGGGCGACTGTACTTAGTGCTTATAGCTTTTTCGGCTGGAGGATGTGGTGGAGACAAACTTGACGCTGGAGCCATTGCCCCCAGGGCTCCGGCTGCTACCAGCACTGAAGCTGGAGCTCCCCAGGCCCACACCCAAGCTGTGTCCACCACTGGTGGTGAAGGAGTAGCCACTGCCCCCACCAAGACTCAGGTTTCCACCTCTGATGCCACTGCCACCGCCATAGCCACTGGAAATTGTGGAGGTGACCACAGCTGCCGGAAGAGAGGAGACATGGTCAGAATCAAGGGCAGGAGAGAACACACCTGGGGACCTGGAGTGTCAGGGCCTGTGCCCTGAAGTTCCTGGGGAGGGGAGGGTGTGATCTTGTCAGGCAGCTGTTAGCCTTCTTGTAATTGCCACCCCCAGCATCTCCTCCAGTCCCCGGTGTGGTGAAGTCACTGTTCTATGCCCCGGCCTGGCTCTCCCTGCACTGCAGCTCTGGGTGTTCTCCCAGTCTGAAATGGCTTTCTGCCTCCCCTCTGCTACTCGGTGTCTCTCTTTTCCTTCCAGAACTGAATGGAGACTTCTCTCTTCTTGGAAGCTATTCCAGTCCACCCTGTGATCCCACCACACTCTCCCCTGCTGCTCTGTCCCTGTCTCCCTTTGTGGGCCTGACTCTTGTGTCGCCCTTCATTTTGGAAGCTCATAGCAGGCCACCTATATGCTTCCCTTGGTGTTCCCAGCCTCTGTGCTCTGAATCCCAGAGCGGGGCTGGAATATTCTTGGTAGACCAAGTGACAGATGACTCACCAGCCAGCCAGCTTGGCCCCTATTCTCTCCCCAATCTACTCTTTTCCTAACTTTTATAACCATCATCACCTTAAATATCTAGTATCCCACTTGGGCTCTGGAGAAGGAAAATTGAACCAAAAAATAGACTCTGTGTTATGGGATGAATTATATCTGCAAAAAAACATATATTGAATCCTAGTACCTGTGAATGTGACCTTATTTGGAATAGGATCTTGCAGATGTAATCAAGTTAAAAGAGAAATCATTAGGGTGGGCTCTAATCCAATATGACTAATGTCCTTTTAAGAAGAGGGACAATGTCCTTATGTGAAGACAGATCACAAAGAAAGGGCCATATGATCAAAGAGGCAGAGAGTGGAGTGATGAGCCAAGGAATGATAGCAGCCACCAAAAGCTAGAAGAGGCAAGGAGGAATTTCCCCCCTCCTGGTTTCACAGGGAGCATGGTCCTGCTGGCACCTCAGTTTGGGATTTCCAGCCTGCCAACTGTGAGAACAATAAATTCTGTTGTTTTAAGCCACAGAGTTTGTGTACTTTGTTGTGGCAGCCCTGGGAAACCAGTATAGACTTTTAGGTGCTTTCAAGAGAAAGGAAACTTCAGAGGCTGTGCCGTCCATTCCTGGGGCCATCCATTCCCAAGGACGCCTGAGTGGTTCAGACGGCTCTGCCTTTTAGAACCATTGGCCAACATCATCAATTGCATTTGTGAATCCCACATCAAGAATACCAACCCCCTTGTGGAGTGTAAGTTGCAGAAGTCATTTCTGTTGGTCTCAAGATGCCAGCACTGAGCTCTGTGAGTGATTCCTTCTGCTCTTACTGGCACAGGGCTGGGCCAGCTCGCTAACCTCTTCTGTTTCTTAGTAGCTGCACCCACTTACCATGTCTTATGGGCTCTCATTGCCTTGAAAATCCTTGGTAACTCTGCACTTACAATCTGCACAGTTAGCAAAGCAGTGGGGCTTCTTCCAAAACTGTTTGAATGGCAATGCCCTTGTGCTCCACATGAAGGCTCCCTTCACAGACAGAGGGCAGACCAGGAGTTTTCATAAATTCTATCTACATCGAACACTCATCTCTGAGCTAGACTTGCAGACCCAGCAAAAATGATGTGAAATCCTGGGAGGTAGGTGTGTGGCCTGTGGATCTTCTAAAACCCAAGCAGAAGGAATGCAGAAAACCTCCCATCGCCCCCTCTGTGGCATCTTTCACTTGCAAAGAGGTAAGTATTGTGACATGGAAGGCTCTCTCCTAACATGACTCTCTTTTTAACAGATTCAAGACCTCAAACTTTCTCAAAATGAGCCCTTTTGGTGGGACCCCTCCAATGCTTCATGCATGCCCACCACCTCCCCACCCCCCAACCACACACCCTCCAAATGGCACAGAGGATGTCATACTCACAGATGTTAACCGGAGAAACACCCTCTCCACTCAGCCTGATTGAAAGGAGTGGGGAGAAGGAGGTTACTATTGTGTCCAGGGGCTTGTGGGCATTTGAAATGACATTTTTGTAATTGTTTTAAATGCATTAAAAAACCCTTTATTACTTTTATTGCAGAAAAATGGGGGTTGAAATTATTTAAATACTAGTATTATTAAAAATAATAATTTAATGAATGAAATAATGTGGAGTTTGAGGTTTATAGGAGTAAAGTCTGTCATCCCAGAGACACATTTTTGGTTTAAACTAGGCAGACACCTCATGGAGATCAAAGCTAATCACATGCTGCTGTCAGTTGAGAAGGTGTTCTACTTGTCATAGAACCAGGAGAGTTCTCTCTCAACAATGGACCATTGTCGTGCCCTGGGCAGTGCTGAGGTTGTCATAGGTGTGGAGAGGAGTCTGAGACATAAACATAACATTGGCAATAAATAGTCTATCATCATGGTAGCCACTAGAGTAATTTTGTTTTCAAATCTTGAGGACAGAACTGGCATTCATTTACAAATACATACTTAGAACATTAAGAGAGCTAACAATTACTGGGTACCTGCTACCTATATAATGCCACTTATTCTCTCAACAACCCCATTAAGTAGGCATTGTTATTTCAGTTTTATAGATGGAGAAATTGAAGCTCAGAGAGGTAATTAAGTCACCCATGGTCACAAAGCTGGATTTGAAGCCAGAGTCATTTGGCACCAGAGCCCATGTCTTTGGCCACTAAATTGAATGATAACTGTCATGTAATGAGCACTTTTTTGTATACCATGCACTGTGTGAAGAGCTTCATGTATAGTCCCTGTCTGACCCTCTTAAAAACATATGAGCTAGAAACTATGGTTATCTTCATTTACAGGTGAGAACGCCAAGGAATGGAAGGATTAAGTAATTTGCTCTGGGTCACACAGCTGGTAACTGGCAGAGCACAAAGCTCCCACTGAGCTAGATCATGTGACCTGGCCTCTATTCTGTCACTGAAGAAGTGAGGACCAGAGAAGGGATACTGACTTTCCTAAGGTAACACAGCGTGTTAGTGGCAGGCATGTAAGCCTAAATCCTAGGACAATTTATTCTCAGTCCAGAGTCTTTCATGCCACATATCCAGCCCTGCCATGTAACCAAATTTCTCCTTGGACAGAACTTGATTACTGGGACCTGATCAGGCCCTAGATTTCTATGGGGTGTTAAAAGTAGTTACCTCTTAAATGCAGGAGTCTGATAATGATTTATAAACCTGGAGAAAATGGCACCTGTATTCTTTGTCATAACCCAGTTCTGCCTGCATTTTGTTTTCTTTTCCAGGAAAGGAGAGGGCTGCAGCAACCTGAGCCCCTAGGAATGGCTAGGCAGCTGGGATGGAGTTACCACTTCTACCCTCACCTGTTCTCCTCGCCCTCCAGCAGCTTCCTGTAGGTGGCGATCTCCACGTCCAGGGCCAGCTTGACGTTCATCAGCTCCTGATACTCCCGCAGCAGCCGGGCCATGTCCTGCTTGGCCTTCTGCAGAGCCTCCTCCAGGTCCACCAGCTTGGCTCGTGCATCCTTGAGGGCCAGCTCTCCACGCTGTTCTGCATCAGCAATGGCTGTTTGCAGGCTGGAACACTGTGAGGAAGGGATAAGACACGAGCCTTACTGGAAGCCCCAGGCCGTGTGGTGCTTCTTCGTGGGAGTCCTGCACACACGGCGGAGTGACTCAGGAGAATGGAGTGTGCAGGGAGCTCTTGGCCCTGCCGAAACTTTACCTGCTTCTTCACGTTGTCAATCTCGCTTCTCAGCCTCTGGATCATCCGATTCACCTCAGCGATCTCTTGTTTGGTGTTTCGGAGATCATCGCCATGTCTGCCTGCTGTGACTTGTAGCTCCTCATACTGCAGGAGTCAGAGAAGAGCCAGTCATCTCGTCGAACACCTGGGCTGGACACTGCCTGTGTGCCCAGCCTGGCCCTCAGGGACACCACAGGCCCATCTGTTCACTAATCACTCACACAAACCCTTGCCCATTTAGTCAGGTGATATTTCTTGAGCACATCTAGTTGACAGGCATGTACTAGGCCCTGGGAATATCACAAAGAACACAGACCACCCTGCTTACAATTTATTGGGGGAGATGGGCATTAATCAAATCAGCATACTATTGAATATATAGTCCCAAACTGAGATAAGTGCCCCTTAGAAATTAACAGAGTCCTACAGGAGTGTAATAAAGGAATCTGACTGAGATATGGAAGTGGGGGTGGTGATCAGGGAAGCCCTTCCAGAGATGGAGATCCTGGGGCTGTGCTCTGAAGGATGGGAGTGAGCTAAGTGACTGGCTGGGCAGAGGCCACCCCAGACAGGAGAAGCAGACGATGTGAGGACCCTGGGGCAGGAAGAAGCATGAGGAGCCCTAGTATTGAGAGGGTACTTGAGAAGTTCCTGGTCACAGGACCTACATCCAGACCAATTGTGATCATGAACTTTGGTCACCCTGCAGACTCCAGTGCTGGGGAAACAGGAATAAGATGTAAGGAGATGGTGTTGCTTGGAGCTGAGGCCACAAAGGATCCAGTTCTGAAGACTTTGTAAGAGAATAGCTCTCCACCTCATTTAGGTGCACATCCAGGACACACTCATTTTGGAGAATGAATGCACCCTGCCCCCTTTAGCAGACTGGAGTGAAAGCCACACCTTTCCCAATGAAAGAGGGCCCCTGCCTGAACAAGTGTTTGGTGGGTTTTGAAAGTACTGACTAGCTCAGCTCCTCTGTTTCTAGATACACACTGTTAAAGGGAACAATAGCATTGCCAACAAAAGAAATTATCTGCTATAAATTTCAACCACTCCACTTGGAGTGGTTAAGTGTATCCCACCTCCACTCACCATCAAGGGGCTGCCTCTGCACTGTGCACCCCTGTCAGCTGACACCCTCTGCCTTCCCACCAACTTGCAGTGGTAGGGACTAAGGCATGAATGCACAGAGCAGGGCAAGGGACAGGATCCAGCTTGCAGGTGAGCAGCTGCCCCTGAACAGCATCTGGATTTGGCAGGAGGCTCATCTCATGGGTTGGACTATCCTGCCTACCACACCCCTTCAAAGCCAGACCTTCTTCTGGCCGTCTGCACTTTTGGACGGTAGATCTCTCTGGTTGTCCCTACCTTCCTCTTCCAGATACAAACTCTCTTGCTCAGCAAAGTGCTAATTTCCACCTTGTAGCCCCACAGAACAGCTTTCTCAGCCTTGAACACCTCCCCTTCCTTGGCATTCTTGTTCCTCCCTGCTTCCCAAGTGGGCTGAAAACCCACTGCTTCTTGGAAGCTTTTTGTTCATGTTGTCTTTTTCCCTTCCAAGAGCATCCATTCACTTTACAGCTTCCCAGACCTGGGGTTCTGCTTGCAGTTTATTTATTTACAACTCTGTAAACTGCTCGGCATATAATAGGAGCTCTGTGAGCATGCACTGACTAAATAAGCCCTTTGGAAACAGCTTCATGACTGTTTCTTAGATGTTTCAGAGTCTCACCCAGCCCCTGCCCAGATCATAATTAAGTGATGTGGGGGTGGTAGCTGTCCTGAGTGCCTAACATCAGCTGACCACATAACAGTGTGTATGGTTGGATCTCCATACATTTTTTGAGCTAAGTTTTTACAGGATCAAAGATGCTTCTGCCAAGTTGAAAGAGATGGACATGCTCTCATGTCTAGCTGAAAGCTATGGCTAATAGTTAAATGATGATTTGGGGTTTCAGAGAACACTAGCCCTGGACTCTATCATGGAGCTGCCCACACTCACCTTGGTCTGGTACCAAGACTCAGCCTCAGCCCGGCTGCGGTTGGCAATGTCTTCATACTGGGCCTTGACCTCGGCAATGATGCTGTCCAGGTCCAGGCTGCGGTTGTTGTCCATGGAGAGGACCACGGATGTGTCACTAACCTGTGTCTGCATTTGGGACAGCTCCTGCAGAGCCAGTAAACTCAGTGTCATCAAGGCATAAGGAGAAGGGATCTTGAAATCATACAGTTAAGCACCCATCTAGGTCAGAAAGCACTTCTTTGGCATTCCTGGCAGGGAGTCTTTCAGCTCCTCCCTGGCTACTCCCAAGAGGTGTCTGGGTCATAGGCCAATGTGATGGGATTGTGTCCCTAGTATCATTTCTCCAGAATCTCACTTGGGTGATTTCCCTGGAAACAAAGGGTGGGTAAGTGTTCTCTGATCCAAGTTACATGCAGTTGACTATGACATATATTGACTTATATGCTGGCATAAAAGATTTCTTTAGGATCAGATGATTTTTAGGACCCTCTGCCCCCTGGACAGCATGTCTTTATTGCTCCCTGCTTCTCTCTCCCTCCCCACAGGCCAAGGTCTCTGCTTTCAGAGTGGCAGTGCCCAGAATGAAGCATCTTCAGAGGGCAAGAAGCTGGCCAGTGAGCTGAGGTACAGCTTACCTTCAGAATTTTGCTGGGAGGGGGAATGGAGAAATGGATGTCGCTCCCTACAGACCTGGGATTCAAGAATCAGCACTCCTTCCATGATATGCTATGGGATGGGGGAATAAGCCTCACAGCTGGGGTAGGGTTTAGTGTGGCAAGATTTCAAGTAGTTCTCCTGGGTCCCCTGACCTTCCACACTCTAGCTTGGAGCAGCTGGGGCACCATGCCTCATGGGAGTACTATGGGGATGACATTCTCTGCCACGTTTTTTCTTTCCAGGGACCAGAACTAGGGGGGATAAAAACATCTGCAGGCTCTTACTGCCTCATACAGCATCCGTAAGAAGTTGATCTCATCAGTCAGACTGCTGACCTTGGCCTCCAGCTCCACCTTGTTCATGTAGGCGATGTCCACGTCCTGGAAAACAGCGCAGGATACCCTTCTAAGACCCTGGCCACAAGCAGCAAGTCCTAGAGAAGCTGAGCAGACTCCTCTCTGGCCCTTCTAGGTTGGACTTCAGCAAGTCTGCACCTGGGATTGGGAGGTGGGGGTGGGTGGTTGCTGAGAACTGGAGGCTTGAGTTTCCTGGGCTAACGGCACCCTAAGCAGGGGCAGCGGGGCCATAAAGAGGGAGCATTTTGGCAGGTTTGAGGTCTCCAGTTATTCTCCAGGGGTGGCCCAAGGGCTGGGTCATCCCACACTCCAGGATTCAGTTTTGAATCTTCTCCTTTGCGAGACATTTCCACCCACCTTCTTCAGGCCCACAAACTCATTTTCAGAAGCCGTGCGCTTGTTAATTTCATCCTCGTACCTGTGAGCGGGGGAGAGGGGGTGTGCTGTTGAGCAAGGCTTTGGTGGAGCTCTTCCCAGGCTGTGGAGGAGTGTGCTGGGGCAGCAAGAATGAAGAGACTTTGAACCCCCTCCTGCTCTTCTGCTGACCTTTGGGTGATTCACTTAACCTCTATATCTCCCTCTATGAAAGGAGAATAATTTCTTCTGCCAGAAGTTTTTTTCTTTCTTATTCTCTCTTTAGTAAGACTAGAAAGGGAGCATGAAAATTATGGAACTAGAAACAGGTGTTTAGCCAATTCCATCTTCTTAGAGATGTACAATTACAATCTTTAAAAGACTTTGCTGTCTCAAGTGCCTGCTGTAAGCTTTGTGCAGGGCATCATTCCTGGTAGAATTTGGTATATTTCACTGAACTTCAGGGCAGCCGTTTGAGCAGTGTGCTTTTAGTAAGTAGGTGTAGTTCTGCCTCAGAAATCAAGGGTAAAGCAGCTAATAGTTTAGGGGGGACCACTGTCTTCCACTACCTCACCTGCACTGAATACCTGCATTGATTACTGCAGCCTGGATGATCACCATCAAATTTTGCCTCCTCAAGGAGGACCAGATTGCCTCGCTTATACTCTAATGTGCATCCTGAAAATGGAAGCTGTCTCAGTAACACAGCCCATGCCCAGTGGAGTTAAATCATATGCTAACCTTGAAATAACATTAGGCTTTCCAGAGTAACAATATTCTGTTAGGTGATATAGATATCCCTTTATGGTCGTGTAGGCAGATAAGAACAGGCTTCTCGTTAATAGTGATACATCAGCTGAGGGTCCCTCTGTTGCCCGGCACCATGCTGTCTTCATCTGATGGGATAATGACTGCAAGTGGTAAATCTCCCAGCTGATACTGGCATTTGCAACTTTGTGCCTCTAGGGTTCTCATGAAAAGGGACCCTGAGATGACTGTGTGACCAGCAGCCCATCTTCCACTTACCTGACTTTGAAATCTTCTACAATATCTTGCATATTCCTGAGCTCAGCATCCAGCCTGCCCCTCTCAGTGGTGACGCTGTCCAGCTGCCGGCGGAGGTCATTGAGGCAGGCATCAAAGAAGGGCTCCAGGTTCTGCCTCACGGTCTTGGTGCCCTGCTCCTGCAGGAGGCTCCACTTGGTCTCTAGGACCTTGTTCTGCTGCTCCAGGAACCGTACCTGGAGTGGGGAAGAAGAGAATGCAATCTTGAGAAACAGGGGAGACTTGAGAAATTAATTGGAGCCAGACATTCCAATTAATACGGGAAAGAAGAAAAGGACACTTTTTACCTGACACCCAAATTTCAACTCTTTAATTGGCAGCTCCAAGTCAAGATGAGAAAGCCCTTGAAGCAACCTCAAAGTTCTCAAGGGCTTCCACAGAACTAATGTAGTGGGGCTCAGAGGCCCCTATGGGGAGCCTCGATTCTTGGGTGGGCGGTCTCGATAATGCCTGCTGTGGGTTAGATCAGTTTGCCTAGTGGAAACCCCTCCTGTAGAGAACAGCTTGACTTGCCCTGGTTTTGACTGAACCAGACCACATGGCTCCCAAGAAGGACAAGGAGAAATTTCCACAAAGTTCCCATTTGTAAATAAATACCTCACCCCCTGGGAGGTACCTGTTAATCAGATGTGCTTTTCTAGGGAGGCCGTTGCATTTCTGCTTCCCCTCTGGGCTGGGCCTCTCCAAGGGGTCCTACCAGCCTAACCCCATGGGGCAGATGCAGCTCCCGGCTCACCTTGTCGATGAAGGAGGCAAACTTGTTGTTGAGGGTCTTGATCTGCTCCTGCTCTTCTTTCCGCACTCGCTGGATGGTGGGGTCGATTTGCAGGTTGAGGGGAGTCAGGAGACTCTGGTTGACTGTGACCTCTTGGATACCTCCAGGGGGACAGACGGGGAAGCCAGGGCCACCAAAGCTCCCTCCCACTCCACCACCATAGCCAAATCCACTGCTGACCCCAAACCCACTGCTCGCCCTGCCACCAAAGCCACTTCGGAAGTTGCCACCACTCCCACTGACAGAGACCCGCTTGGTCCCCCCTAGGTTGTAGAGGCTGCGGCTTCCAAAGCTGGCCCCAGGATCACTAATTCTTCTCAGGCCTGCACTGCCCCAAGTGCAGCGGGCCACGGAGGCTGAGCTGAAGCGGGGGCGACTGGAGGCTGAGGCAGTGCTGAAGCCCCTGCGGCTGCCCGTCTGAAAAGTGATGGTGGACTGCCTGGACATGGCGGCTGAGAAAGTGGGGCAAGAACAGCTTCAGAAGTAGGTGTGTATGAAGGGGGATAGAGGAGGCAGGGTATCTGGGGAGCCCCAGGCCCCTGGGTTTTTATGTGCCTCTGGGAGGGGTGGGGCAATGCTAATGGATGCTTCTGATGGCATCTCCTAGGCATTTGCCAACCCTGAGCTCACACTCAGCTCCCCTCTGGAAACGGTGCACGAGCCACTGGTTGGCTCTGGCAGCCTCACCTCCCCCTCATGGAAACTCCTTTCCAGTCACAACTTGATCAGCAAATGAATGAGAAACACGTAATTGCTTTCAGTCATGTTCTAATCATGCATCTTATAATGGACTCAGAAAACACTGCCTCATTTCTAAACCGTTTTCTTAGGCCTGGGACCGACTCCCTCTTGTCCAAACATCTTGTGTCAGTGTAAGTGACTGTGATTTACTGTTCCCTGTTCTTTTCTATCCCTTAGCTGTGCTTCCCATGCCTGAGCAGTTCCTCAGCTATTATACCCCAGTCCTCCTCCTCCCACGAAGCTGCCCCTCCAGATCTTGAAAATCCTGCTCTACACTCATCTTTCTCAGGAATCTACCCAGTCTTGACTGCTCCTTAATTTTGCTCTTAAGCTTCCATCTCTGTTGTGCAGGTCACAGGATAATCTGGAGCATGAACGTGTGCATGCACATATGTCCTGTCTCCTCTAACACAACATGACTCTGAAGACTGGGCCCTCTGTCTGCCAGGGAGAGAAGCTATGAGAGTGGAGAGATAGGGTTGAATCTCGGGCCTGCTATATACTCGTTGTGAGACCTTGAGGCAGTCACAGACTTCTCTGAGCCTCAGTTTGAGTGTCTATAAAAGTGGGATTGTGATGAGCATTCATGCATGAAAACAACTTTTGCAATGTCTCAGTCATGTTTAAGTGCTGAGTAAATGTTTGTTGAGTCTTCTTTCCTTCTGATACTATCAAGCAAGTATGAATGAAGTGCCAGAGGTATGTCCATCCTGTGGCAAGTTTGAAAGGAGCACAATACACATTCTTTTTCTTTTATAATGGACTTGTGTTTCAATTGGGAAGACAACATCGACACCCATTAGGTAACTTATGAAAAGGTGGTAGACATGAAAGCACTACTTCTCAGCTCTGTTTGAGGCTGCCTTATTCCAGAAGTCTCCCAGACAGGCCACCCCTCCTACTGAGTGCCTGGGATTCCCCACCCTTTAATCCTTCATCAAAGCTACAGTGGTTGCACGAAGTAGAGGATTTTTTCTTTTCCCTGCTAGCCTTGTTGTCTGTTTCCTCCCTCTCCCATTTGTCTCTATCTAAAACTGGAAAGTTTACAAGGCTCTTTGTTCCCCTTTTATCTGCCTCTCAACTCTCTGTCTCTACTTGGGGGCTGGGGAGGGGGGTGGTCAGACAGAGGCATTGCCAGATCTTCTTTTATCTTGCTGAGTTCTTGCTTCTTACAGTGATTTTGAAGGATAGCAGAATGAGAGAGGAACTGAAATGCATTCAGTTTGCCTTTTGTGGATGAGGACACTGAGTCCCCAAATGGTAAATTAAGCAGGTAGATATTGCCTAGCTAGTGAGAAGCAGTGCCAAATCCCATGGCCTTGCCACACAGGTGCCCTTCCAGAGGCACACAGTAACTGAAGGGCTGGCAGTCACTCCCCTGCCTGGACTGGCAGCTTGGCACTTGGAATGGCGGTTCTCTGTTGTCTGAGCTATTTCCTCCTCAGAGCCAAGGCCAGGGGGTGGGCCTCTCCTCCATCCAGAGATTGTTTGAGAGTCTCAGTTTCCACAGGGAATCTATGAATCATTGCTTTTGTTGATACAGGCCAGGAGGAGCACAGGCGTTCTCTCACCTGGTGGCCAATGCTCCCAAGTCCTCTCTGGGGTGGTGCATGCATTTGGGGTGGAAAGAATAATCATCTTTGTTTTCTGTACTCCTTGCATGATAATCTTTCTCCCAGAAAAAAAGAACACTTGTTTCCTGAGCCATGCTGACTAAACCCTTCAGAACGTCCCATGAAATACAGGGTCAGGGCCCGGAGAGTGTCTTAGCTGCCATGCCTGTGGGAACGGGAACTGCCACAGCTTTCTCCCATCAAGCTTCCCATGTGGAAGCTGGCTTCATCTGTCTTTCCTCCTGGGTCCTTCCTTTCTTTCCCATATACTCTCCCAGGAGTCCTTTTCCTTGGTATTGCCATCTCATACTTTCCCATTCTTGTTTCTCTCAGTCACCACCTCTCGTCTGGAGTGACCCCCTTCCTTCCTCCTCTGCCTCCTTCCTCTAATTTTTCCACCTGGATTGGTGTTTACAAAGCTAGACTGTCTTACTCACTGACTTCTGTGAGATAGATGAAAATAGTAAGTCTTTTACTTCTCTTACTCCCTCAGTCCCTCCTCTGTGAACTTTGAACTTCATTGTGACCTTTACCCTGGTGGATGATGTCTTCATGAACGCCTAGACCTGACAGCCTGTGTTGCTACTCCATTTAAAACCTGGAAACTTAGAGAATAAAAACACTTTGTTTCATTCATGCCAAGGAAGGTTTTTTGTTTTGATTTGAACCTCCACTATAATTCTGCTTAGACTTCACCCCCAAGAAGCCTTCTCAGATAAACTGCCCAGGCACTAACCCCTTTCCACCTGTTCCCTGAGAACACCTGTTCGGGGCTTGTACATCATTCACCTGCACTGGTTTTCTGGTGGTCTGAGTGTTAGTTTGCCTTGGAGGGCTAGGGGTGTTTTACAGGTGGAATTGTGGCAGAAGTTCACTTGACACAGGTTGTTTAATATGAAAAAGGAACTAAATATTCCTTCCTGTTCTCCAAATCTCCAACTTTGTATTGTTGAGCCTTTCTGGGAGAAGTTTTCTTGAGGTTTTGGGGAGTGGTGGATTTAAGAGTGATGGTATGTGCTCTGGCGCCCAAGGCTGGGAGTGCCAAACTCTTTGATTTCCTTGTTCTCCACCCATCCTGCTCAGGGTGGTCTCTCCCACTCTCAGAGGGACCCTGGGGCCTTTGGCTATGGTGGATTTTAAGGAGACTGGGCCAGGTGGAAAGAGGGGCTGTGGAGGTCAGTGGAGGAGGGGAGAGAAAGGGTGCTCAGAAGAGCTTTGGCTTCCGACCAGCTCAGGGCCAGAGGAGGGCAGGCTGAATGGGGATAGAGAGCATTAGGCAAATCCCTAGAGCAGGCCGTCTGCTTCACGGAGCGAAGGTTCCTAGGTACAGTGTCTAAGAACCCAGATCCCAGCCACCCACCCCCGATCCCTCCCAGAGGGCCTACTATCTCGGAGAGTCCTGCCTACAGTTAGTAAAATGTTTATTAGGAACTAGTATGTGCCAATGTTCACTGTTCTAGGCACGGGCAATAGAGCAGTGAATGAGGCAGATAAAGCCCCTTCCCTTCTGGAGCTCACACTGAAAAGGAAAGGGCAGAGGAGGCCGTTTAGAGGAGCAGTTACAGCCTGGCTCTCCCAGTTCACAAGTCCCAGCAGCTGAGTGTAGAGAAGATAGTTCCATGGTGATACCTGAGCCTCTCAACCAGAAACACTTTTCAACCCTGACTATTTGTGTTAGGGCAGAAGACTTCCTCAATATTTGGTATCTGTAAGGCGCCACCCAGCCTGCCTCTGTGGGGGCCAGACCCTCCACCTCATGGACCCCTTTGTTCCTACATTCAGTGGCAACATTGCTCCCCAGAGGGACTAACTGTGCCAGCTGATCTCAAGAAACTATCAAGGTTCAGGACTCAGGACATGTACTTCCACATGGCCAGACCTCACCTGGTCTGCTCTCTCTACTACAGACATAACTAGGCATTTCACATGAACCCAGATTTGATGAACAAGTGCAGAACCTCAAGCATGTGGGCAGGCAACCCTCAAATTTGTGTTTAAGAGAAGCAACATGGAGCCGCCCCTTCCTTCCATGGTCAAGCCCTTCAGACACATCCAACAGGTGTGCACATGCAAAGCATGGATGCGCATGTCTTAGGAACATTCACAAAACAACAGTCCACACATGAATGTGTTGCCAACTAGAGGCATGGGACAGAGAACTAAAGCAAAGGAGGGTGGGCGGTGGGGTGGGTGGGGCAGGGGAAGTGGTGGTGGGAAAATGGAGACAACTGTACTTGAACAACAATAACAAATGAAATAAAATAAATAAAGCAAAGGACCAGAGTCAGTCTTTCAGAACCTGAAGGAGCCCTTAGAAATGAGGACACCAAGGGCAAGAACATACAGCCATTTGGTGGCCGAGACAGAGCTCCTGATTCCTTCTGATGCCCACATTTGCCCCAGCCCTCCTCACATCATAGAGATCAGGGAGAAAATCTCCCCACTGCCTGGGAAGCACAGTTGGGGCCCCTCTTGTAGGGAGAGAGTGGGTACAATGCCAGCATCCCAAGGACCTCACATTGCTCCCCCACAGAGAGCGACAGAAGGGATTTAGACAAGGGAAGATTCCAGATGCCTCTTGGTCATTTACCTCTGACTGCTTAAGTGGTCTCACTGTTCCCTGGATTGGAGCATTTCACCAAGTCTGTCTGGTTGATGTGCAGGAGCTGCCATACAGGGACACTGCTGGGAGAGGAAAGTCGGGGTGAAGTGGGGTGCCTCTGCAGCTCTTCCTGGCAGTGAGTGGCATAACTGGTCATAAGATGGAAGTTGAGGGCTTCAGATGAGTCTTGATCTCCTTACTGGCTCTGAGGCTTATACTTGGGGCACACAAGAGGTCGTAGAACCCTGAGCATGGGCGGAGAGGCTGGGGAGCTGGCTTGGTTTGACATTGCTCATGGATAAATCACAGAGTGAAGCCATCCAAGAATGCTTAAGGTGGGATTGTGTTTATCTACTTAGCACACACTTGCCTTGTCTATAAAGCTGTGTTTCTATCTGAGACATCTCGGTGATGCATCATTTACCAGTTTCCACAGGCAGAAGCTTAGGCATGTGGGGTTGTGTTTTCCACCATCCTCCAGAGGTCCAACCATCCTGGGCCTAGGAGTCCCTGCCTCATTCTGGGCAGCCTGATGCCCAGCTGACCTGGAAGCACTGAATGAGCACACAATAATGATGAGGATGGTGAATGA